GCAGGAAGGACTGTCCCTGCTGTATCTCAGCACGCTCCATGCCACCACAAAGGCACTTGAAATCAACTCTAACACAGTGAGGAGGAACATCACACAGAGGTAATGCCACACACAGCAGTTAATATGACCTACCTGGGAGATCAGAGGGATGATGGTCTTCCCTGCATGGCCACCAATAACTGGAACGCTTACTCGAGCAGGATCTAAACCCTAAAGGAAACATAAAACTTTCCAGTTTCTGAGACGTACAGAGAAGAAAAAACATTTAAAACCACCACATTTTTTCCTGCTCTCAGTATCCTGACATCCAGAAATTTCAGAGGCAGCTACACTACAAGGGCAGTGCTAATCAATACAGTCAAACTCCAAGTTATTCATCCTGATAACTTTAGACAGTCAATGCAAGTTCAGATAAATAGCAGCAAAGGTATAAACTCCACCAGGGCTATTAAGAGCAGTGAAGCCTTCACACTGTTTGATACTACACAGAGAATATCCTACAAGGTGCAGCACAGACAACATGACTTGCAAAGATATACTGCAAACCTCTCTCCTCCGGTTGCACCAGCAGGGCTGAAAGTGCCAAGAGAATGAGGGCAAACATGCAGCTCACTCACAGGGGAGATTTACGAAAGGAAAGGTCAAAGTCTCTTGAAGTAGGTTTTGTAAGAAACCCTATCCCCAGGCTCCTCTGCAGGGAATCATTGCTTTCAGCTCCAGCTCCACATAAATCTGAGCTACTTTAGCTCTACACTGTGATGTTTAGAAACATTTTTGGTAGAACTGATGACAGAAGCATACAATATCCTTTCCCCAGCATTCATCATTACAGCCTACCTTTAGCTCAGCCACAAAAGTATTCGCTCTGACAATGTCCAGTGTTGTTACACCAAAGATTCTGTTAGGATTATACACACCATGCTTCTTGAAAATCTCTGAAGTTATGGGTATGGTTGAATTTACCTGCAAGCAAAAACATGCAAGTGTTCACTGGAAACAGGAGCATAACAAAACCAATGCATGAGATGAACAGGAAAGTAAAGAAACATCATACTTCCAACTTTAAGTCACCTGTAATCAGCCAATTTTTAACAGTAAGAACAACTTACAGGCAGGCTGGAACAAGTGTTTTATTTTAAACAACCAATGAGACAGTGACTATAGCAGTATGTATTATAACCAGTCATACAGAAGCTTTTACATACAAATTTAATCTGACTTTGTTACATTTCAAGAACAATCTGTTGACAGAGCCAGGCTTTTAGCTTTTCTTCTTGTTTTCCTGCAAATATTCCATAAACCTTAAAGCTGCTGGTCAAAACTAGCATGAAGTTGCAGATTATTTCAGATTATCTCTGTATTCTGAGATTGGATATTCTTTTCTAGATTTTGAAGGTCTCCAGAACATACTTACCGGGTTGGAAATAATACAGATCATGGCTTCTGGACAATGCTTTGCACAGGCAGTTGTTAAAGTAGCAACAATGCTAGCATTGGTGTTGAACAGGTCATCACGGGTCATACCTAAAACATATCCAGTAAATATTTTCAGTTACCTGTAGCCTATTCATCCCTCCCTGAAGTCACCTCCACAACCACAGCTGGAACATTAATTGATCTGTACAAAATATTGCTAGCTGCAGGGCTGCCACCATGGAAAATGCAGAATTAGAATGAGAAATGAATTAAAGCCTGGACTTTTGTTACATTCCCAACAGTATACAAAAAATAGAAATAGAACAGATCAGAGCTACTAAAAAGGCATTCATTCAGAGATGCTCAGAGACATTATACAATTAACTCAGAACAAACAGACTATTCTATTCTGCTAAGAAAAGAAACAATGAAGCAGTTTTTGAACATGGTATTGCTCTGGGCAAAAAATATTAGGGGAGACTCAGGGTTAATTGCAATGAAGTCTTTGCACCTCCTCCTTTCAAAAGAACCCCAGAAATCAGTGTTTCTCCCCATCTTACAAGTAACAATCTAAGACAGTGACTAACTGAGGCACCACAAGCTCTAGGTCAGTGTTATTTACAGACCACTTACACCCCAAGGCAACCAAAAAGTTTCCATAAAGCAGCACCACAGCCTCCTGGAATGTACTGCAGTTTTGCAGAGATGCACTTCAGTGAAGCCCTAGGGCTTTTTATCATGGAGAACATACCTGGTTTCCTAGGGACTCCTGCAGGAATCACTACAACATCACAGCCCTTCAAACATTCTGGCAATTGCTCAGGTCCCAGGAAACCTGGAATGGAAAATTTTTAGACGTTGTGTTTTCACCAGTTTTTAAATAACTGAGTCTGAAGAACGAAATTATGCCTAAAGACATCTAAATTTGAATCTAGTTTTCAATTCACACTCAGAATCAAAGCAATAAGATTATGGATTGATGGATCTGATTTGATGCTCTGGCTTTCAAAGCCCACAAAATAAGTGGGATAAGAACCACACATTTGTACATTTCACTTACAGCCAGTTGCTCCCATTACGTATACATAATCTAAGATCCTAGCTGACTCAGTGCCCCCAAAAGAACTGCAGATAGGCACATTCAAGTAAAGCATAACCTTTCAGTGATCTTCAAATAAAATGAAGATCAGCAAATGAAGTATTCTTTGATTTCATCAAAAATTGATTGCTACCTCTGAAGAAAACAAGCACATGCAATGCACACAGATGTCCCAGGAGAATTAAGGCTATTTATAGTCAAGATTTTAAATTCAATACTCAGGCTTTTTCCTGATATGACTTTATTGAATGTTTCCTGCCAGCTATTATGAATTCTCTTCCAACTGTGCAACCACAGACTATTTCTCATCTCCATACATGCCAATCTAATCAGCTAAGCCTTAATTAGTCACACACCACTTGAGAAAGAAGCTACTTCAGCTGACACTAGGCTTCAGGATGATGTGAAGACTCCCCTTCACATGAAGAACAACAACAGGCACTGCCAAACATCGCACACACCTGAGGGGATCCTTCAAACAAGCTCAGCATACACAAAGTCTACCAACAGCCACTCACCATACCTTTAACATTCGCTCTTGTCTCGATGTGACTCAGGTCAGCTGCAACACCAGGAGTGTGTGCGATATCATAAAGGCTGAGCCTGCTCACCAGAGGGCTGTTCTTCAGGAGAAGGGAGAGAGGCTGCCCAATCCCTCCTGATGCTCCCAGCACTGCTACCTTGGCATTGTTCTGAAGGAAAAATAAGAAAACGTGCTGATGAGTTGTTTGGCTCGTTAATCCAGAAGTGACCTTGGGGATTTCACCATGCTTTCTTTACTTTTAGTTCTGTTTCTCAATTTCTTTATCAAGCACTACGCAAATTTGCTTGCCTAAGCCCACAGAAAGCTATCACCACAACAGCTTCCCAAAGATCCTTGAGATTTGCTGGTTGAACAAGGATGAAAGTGTTCTTTATGATCTGAAGCTCACACAGACAGCAGCATTAGGCAGAGCACTGAGAGGACCATTCTTCTTCAGCTGCAGACTTTTGTCTAATACCTGCTCCTGTGGACATCCAGCTCATTCAGAGCAAAATGTGTGTTGTAATTTTTCCAGTTTTCAAAGCCTTCCCATTTGGAAAACAATCAATACATTTAATGGACTACAGTAAACGTAACAGCTATTGTACATACGTGAAGAAAATGTCTATGCCTGAAATAAAATCGTACCTGCAACCGCCTCAAAATTGAGCCCTGAGAACATTAAATTACAAACTTACAGCTCTGATTAAAGGCAGCTGACAAGCAAGCAAAAATCAACTCTGCTTTGTTGCCCTGTGAACCAACTGTACCCAGATGTGCTCTCTGGAAGAAAGCTGTTTCTTTTGATGGCCCCCCTGTGCCCACAATGTAACGAAAGCTATTTTAAAAGATCAGAAAAATTGTGAACTGTAATGTTCTGCCAAACTGATGGAGGACCAGAGGCTACAGCAGAGATGGAACGTGCTAATGGCATTCTGTATCACTGTCCTACCAGATAAAGCTATAATTGCTCCAAGTTCACTGCAGGAACAGCTTAATTATTAGCTTAATAATAATTCACAGCATAATAAATAATCCACCCACAAACTAGATCAATTTGCACTCAGCTCAGCATCCTTGCTACTACAAGAAATACAATTTAGCACAAAACTCTTCAAAGGAAAGCAAAGTCTAGCATTAGTCACTGCTGCACCCCGTGTTTATGACTGAGCTGATACCCTAAGATCAAAATCTCATTGCTATCGAATATAATTCCTATTAAATTACACAATCCTCTCTCACAAAGCCTGTCTTTAGAGCTGTGGTAGCCATCCTGCACACACCACAGGAAAACTGCTTCACTTAAAAGGCAGAGCTCTCCCTCCCTCCCTCCCTCCCCAGCACAAAGCAGTACCCCTGGTACCTAGAGGTCAGCACCCACACACAACGGATCAGAGAATGTCCCCAACACGAAAGGCCCCCGGGCACCACGGAGCGATGCGTGTGAAGCTCTGGCTCCACGCGAGCTCACCCCAAAAATCAAACCACGCATCTGACAGAGCTATCCGAGCACTTCTAGGACCCGGCACACCACGGATCACCGTTACCAACTGCTCAGCCCTGCTCCAGGAAGATGCAGGCAGCACTCCGCCGTGCCCAGCCACACACAGCCCCCCTCAGCTTCACCTCAGCGCCCCACGGGCTGCCCATCGCCCTTAGGCCGCTTCTCCCTGCCGGAAAGCCGGCTCCCAGCAGGCACCCAACGCCTCGGATCCCCTCTCACCCCCGAGGCTCGTACCTGGGCACTGGTGGCCAGGCCGCGGCTCAGGACGGCGGCGGGACGGGCGAGGCGGGACAGCATGGCGGCGGCTGTGACTCCAACGACCTCCACTGCGCCGCGCATGCGCCGGCCGGCTACAGATCTCGCGAGAACAGATCTCGCGTGAATTCCTCTCACACCGCCTTCCTTCCCCTCCCCCCCACTCCCCACTGTGCTACCGAGGAAGTCTCGCGAGATTTGCAGAGCGGTGTCGCTCTATAGCAACGAGGAGGTTTGCGCGGGCCGGGTTTGCGTTGCCATAGCAACAAGGGCGAAGCGGTCCGGGCCTGCTGCGAGGCATGGCGGGAGTGATGCTCTGCGAACCCACCGAGCTCTACAACATCCTCAACCAGCACCGTCGCTTCCCCAGGCTGTCCGAGCCCAACTACCTCATCCTGCTGGGTGAGCCCGTGGAGCACAGCGGGGTGGCTGGCAGGAGCGGGGCTGCTTTCCTCAGGAATGGGGCCTGTGAGCGTTTGTGGAGGGATTTCTCACCAGCCATGAGGCCTTGCTGTTGGGGCATTTCTGCTGCCCTTTTTCCATGGAGCAGCACTGCTTGCTGTTCCTTTGTCCTTCACACAGAGCAGAAAGCAGCAGTGTGTGGCACTTATTGCCACAGTGAGAAGCAGTGAGCTTTCTGCCTATGAAATTCTGGCTTAAATTGTATCTTCCCTTCTCTGAACTGCTCCAGGGATGGGCTCCACCTTCCCAGGGGTGGCAGTGCTGACAGGCAGCCCTTGGCCATCACTAAGCATTTGTATCCTTCACAGTGCCAGCACCTCCAGGTGGAGCCATGTGTTGCAGTGTGTTTAGGTTGGCAATCAGTGTGGGAGCAGGGTGGAGGTCCCCACAGTTCCCCTCACAGCTTTCCCAGATCTGTGAGCGTGGCAGCACTGTGGCTGTGGACATCCCCTGGTGCTATACATGTTCAGACTCACGTCAGTGTTGGGGTTTGTTTTATCCATTTGGAAAGTCTCGCTTGCAAAGAAACAGAATCTCTTTCTCTTGTTATGCTGGTGCTTGAATTCCCACCAAACAAATTAAGAGCAGGATTCTACCATATAAATGTCAGATAAGCCAATTGCTTTGTTTTGGTTGAGTGGTGATGGTGGTGTTTTTTTTCAGATGCCCGCACTCTTCGTGAGTACAATGAAAGCCACATCATTACAGCACGCAGGATTGAACAGGTGAGGTGGGACTACACTTTGTGTAAACCATCTCTGGATTTAGCAATTAAGCAGTAACACAGAACTGGTTTAGAAACCAAGGGAGTTGTCCTCACCTCTCCCCAGCCTGTTCCAGCTGTGTTCCTGCCACTGGGGGGATGTGTTCTGTCACAAAGATGGAAAAACTGGCCTCAGTAGCCCAAAGAATTGGCATGCTGAAGTTGTATAGCAGGAAAAATATTGCACAAGAACTGACGTAGTGTTGGCTTGTTTCATAAAGGGCAGCGTAGGCATCTCTACTGCTGCAGCTGATGAAGCAATCTGAAGTGGTTTGTGTGATTTCTGAATTCTACCCGGGTCTTTCAGAATAAAGTGCAGTTGCAGCCCCAAATCCGTTCATTGTGTCGATTGTGCCATAAGAAAAGTGTGATGTTGTACTCCTGATGGAATTCTTCTGTGATTTTTTTTTTTTTTCAGAGCCCTACAGGGGAGTATCTGGTGCCAGATTCTGAGGAACTGGCATGTGTCAGATACTGCGTGGTGTATGACTCTATGACCAGCTCTTTGGACTTCTATGACTTTGAGGAAGAGGAAAAAGAGAAAGGTACACTGCCTTGTACACTGGCCAGATACACTGGCTTATGTCAGTCAAAACCTCACAGCAAGATGGGTGTTTTTCCCCCTCCTCATTTACTTCTTAGAGCTTACTGGACAAAGTGCAAATTTATCCAGTTTTATTTGGAAAAAAATGAACATTTGTGCTACGCCTTTGTTATTTAACTGTGTTGCACATGTTCTTAAATGTAAAGCATGATTTTATTTCAAAGATTTCTGGCAGGCCTGGTTTCCTATGTGTGATCCCTTTGAAGTTCTTTGTTGCATGTAAGGAATACATTTTTATTTTTTTTCTTCTGCATCTACTGAAATTGGGCTTGTCCAACAATTGCCTTTCAGGAAGCAATGGTTCTTCAGAGACTGAACACTCTGAGTCAAGTTCCTCATGTTCACAGAGTGAGTACTTCCTTCTTTGAGGATTACAAAGCACCTCTATCCTATTTAAGAGGACCTAGCTTTAGCAGGGGTGCTGATGTGATTGAAGTTCACTGCGAAATGCAAAGAGCTGGAAACTTTTTCATGTAGTTGTTCAGCCTTCCTTGACCCATGTGGAAAAGTTTAATTGTAACACATCCTGTAGTAAGATGTTCCACAAGGGAAGGTGTGAAGAAACAAAAGCAAGCTTCTGTTTTGCTGATCTGTTTCTGAAGTGGGCATAGTTACAGGCAACTGGGATCTCACGTAGAAGAAGGGGGAAGAACCATCTTGTGTAATTACTGAGGGGAGTGTTTGAAACACTTCTTCAGAAATTGTTCAAGATTCCTCCTTTGTTCACCCTGGCTAAAGCAGACTAAGGAAAAGGGAATCCATACAACTAAAATTAGATTTATACTTAAATATTTCCCTAATATGGGAAGTTATTGCAAGCATTTCCCAAAGAATAGCGGGGAGAAAACAAAAGCATTATCTGGTCCTACAAAAGAAACCAGGAGAGAAATAAAAAATCAGCAGTAGAGGTGAACAGCAGCATTCCTTGTTACTGTCCTCAAGCAACAGTTAAATAAGCCCAGCTTTTAACAAGGCTTTTTACAGCCCATAAGATGAAATGAAAAGGAGCTTACTGTGAGTGTCACTGGACCAGGTTTAGCCTGCAGTGCCATTGGAGGCACACCAAACCTGCCCCAGCAAATTGCTTTTTGCTCTCACTAGATGCTGAGGAAGGAACTGCTGCCCAACATGCCAGAAGCTTGCAGCAGTTCACCCGCCATCCGGTGCTTGTCCTGAGGGGAGGATACAAACGTTTCTCAGCTTGCTATCACTTCCTGAGGACTCAGAAGATATTGTGGATGCCTCAGGTGAGACTAACTTGCAAGTAGAAGACATGAGTCTTCATATTCAGCTGATGATGATTAATGAATTCAAGCTGGATGGTGCTGTAAACCTGATACCAGAGTAATTTCAAACAAAGGAATTAAATATAATTTGAGTTACTGGGCTTGCCCCAGGTGTCGCCACAAGTTCTTCTGCAGCCACACTTTGCCTTTTTTTTCTTCTTCTATTGCATGAAAATACAGCTCATGAAACTACCAGGGAAGCTTTCTCTGATAACCCCGAAGCTGGCCTACTGGAGAGTCCAGATAACTAAACAAACAGTAGCAAACGATGACAAAGAAGGCAGGTTCCAGTTTACTCTCTTTTATATGTGGTTATCTGAGCTGTTATCTAGTCAGTGTTTTCAGACAGAGGTATGACATCTATCAAACACTGTGTTTCATGTCTATAAACCCTTTTGTCTGGAAGGTTCACAAAGCAAGCACTCTGTTTAAGCTGTTGTTCTCCATTGCTTCAAATTATTGAGCTGTTTGGTTCTGGTGTAGTATTACTGAGTATTAATTATGGATGTAGAAGCACCGTCAGCTACTTGTGTATTTTTATTTCCAGCCCTTATGCTGCACAAAGCAGAAATAGCTGCAGACTTGTGCTGTGCCACTACATTGCACCTGCAGCTCTGCAGGTGGCGGATGACTTCATTTAGCTTTGTGAACAACAACCAGGGAAAACTTCAAATGAGTCTGTTACGCTGCTTGAGACATTTGCAAAGAATGTATTCTTCCACTTGTTTAGTTAGGATTTGTTTCAAGTAATGCCCCAATGAAAACATTTTTGTTAATTATTCTTAGTAAATCTAGCAAATACTTCAACACTTTAGAAAATCCAGGTGATTGAACGAATCATTACACTTGAATGTGTCACGGGCTGATGACTAAATATGTGATCATTTTTGCATGACTTCTGTTTAAGAACTCACCAAGTTGAAAGGAGGAAATATATTCTAAACTGAACCCACAGTTTCTCTTTGCAGGAACTCGACAACTTCCAGCCATACCCTGTAGAAATACTGTCTGGAAAGTTGTATATGGGCAATTTCAAGCAGGCCTGCAACCAACAAATTCAGAAAGATTTGAAGATCAAAGCACAAGTCAGCATTTCTGAACAGCCTGCAACACTGTAAGTTGTTCAGGGTATATTCTTCCCAATATCTGTGCCTGTGAAAAAAGTGACGTAGCACAGGAGTGAGTGCCTGTAAACTTTGAAGGAAAACTGTTTTTTTTTTTTTTCACAGCATATTCAAGTGCTATTTCACACTTAGTTCTGTGATCTCTACCTGCATAGCACCAATGCTTTCCTTCAGCCATCTGCCATGACATGGATGGACTGGGTGAGAGAAGGACTGGGAGCCCTTGCCATTTCCAGTCTGTCATGCTTTCACATTTCAGTTTTCATGTTTGTCCCATTAGTTCTCTATGTTGAATTCTCTGAGCTTCTGGAAGGAGGAGAATGCTGTGGAATTAAACAGCTGAAGTGAAGTGGGATCTTTGCTGACATAACTGCCAACACGCATGCTGCAAAGACATGCTTGCTTTCGGTTTATCTGTTTCCATATAGCTATCAGATAAAGGAAGCTGTAGCATAAAGTTAAGGCATCAGTACTAGTACCATGTAGAATGGAAAATCAGTAATTAAACTGGTTTTGCATTACAAGTGCCTTATTGTTTTACCGTAACGATTCCCTATCATAATGTTAGTAATGAGAATGATGAAAAACTCACACATGTAACAGCAAACAAAATTATCAGCTTGCCTCCAACACACAATCTTTTTCCCATAGTTGCTTTGCTGGTCCATGTAATGCTACTCTTTTTTGTATTCTTTTTACAGGTTGGCAGAAGAAGGCAAATACCTCCATATATCTGTTCCAGATTCACCTGAAGCAGATCTTTTTTCTTCCTTTTCTACAATTTGTCATTTCATTGGTGAGTTGTTTCTGATTTGGAATTCCTGAGCTCTCAGTCACTCTAGGATATTAAAATGGAGTGACTGCAATTCACTCCAGTAGGAAGCTCAGACATGCAGGTCATAATCTTTGAAGATCAGTGTACTCCCAAACTAGTCCACACCCTAATGGGTACCAGAGCTGCCTCAGTAACCAGAGTGATGGACAGAGACAAGATTTTAGATGGTATCTGATACTGATGTTCCTACTTATTTTAAAGAATAGTAACTCAGCAATAGTAGAGAGCTTTGCAGTAGGTGTGAGAGGGCTTTGCTGTAGGATGTCTACCAGAGCTGCATAGGAGTCCCCCTGTTCCTCTGTTTTTAAATACAACCCTCTGATTCTCACCAGCCCAAATCTTCAACCACCAAAGTTTTAGCTGAACAGGAGTGACACACAGGGAGAACTTACTGCAAAATGTTCTGAATCCTTGGGACTGGTGGGATTGACAGTGCAGACTCACCATAAAGCCTAGGGCAATTTTAAGTTTGGACAGCATAAACCTGCCTTCAGGTTATTGTATCAGAGAGGGCAAGAAAAAATGTACCAGCTCGGCACCTGCAACAGCACAGCAGACACAGTTCCTGCAGCCTTATCCTATGATGGTGTTCAACAGCACCTTCATCTTCTATCACGCTTATAAAATAGCATCTGCCACAGACTAAAGCCCTGCTCTACTAGGTCGTGCAGACCCAGAAGCAGATCAGTCTGTTCCTACAGACAGTATAATTCAAATACAAAATAAGAAGTAACAACTGAACAAAAAGAGACAAGGAAATTATATCTGCAGTGGATATAATTCTGTAGTCCTACACTGAATTTCATGACTTGCATGACATTGAAACCTAAATGTTGATCTCCACTTACATATCCGTCATCATGCCTCGAGTTTTCTTTTTGCAGCAGTATTTCAGAAGTCTCTTTCTTACATCAGTATGTGGAAGCTTCCAAAACTCTTAAAGTTTGTTAGCTGTGCATATTGTGAAAGAGCATACTGTTTATTTGATTAGTTTTTAGTAGATTGCTTTAACTGGAACGGTTATGGGTGAACACTAAAGCTCTCCACAAACCCTAAGAGAGGGGTGTGGGTATTGTCATGCTTGGAGTCTGTTGGAGTGAGGCCATTTCTGCTCATGGGCCTTACCTTATGATAGAAAACTCTATTTTAGTGCTTGAAAAAAAAAAAACAACAGCTTCTTGACAACAGTAGAAGCAGCTTTGCCCTACAAATTCTACAGTGCACTTGCTGATATTCCAAAAACACATCATGCTATCTATTCTGGAGAGGGAAGGAAAGCATTAAAAGAGATATTAATAAATTATAGAGCTGTTTATGCATAGGTGGCGGAGTTGATGTGGTGAGCAGTGAGTGACAGCATCCTCAGCCAAGTGGGCTTTGCTTTTGTAGAAAAAGAGTTTGCTGATCTTCATAATTTTCACTGCAAATCATCCACATCATCATAAAAACTGTGCCCTGTCTGCTGTGCACTGCTAATCCCCACAGAACCATAGAATTGCTGAGGTTGGAGAAGACCTCTAAGATCATCCAGTCCAACCATCCACCTACCACCACTACAGCCCACTGACCACATCCCTAAACACTACATCTACCCTTAAACACCTCCGGGGCAGTGACTCCCCCCCAAATCCCTGGGCAGCCCATTTCAATGCCTGCCCACTCTTTCTGAGAGGAAATTCTTCCTAATATCCAACCTAAACTTCTCCTGCTGCAACTTGAGGCCATTCCCTCTTGTCCTATTGCTGTTACGTGGAAGAAGAGGCTGACCCCCACCTCACCACAACCTCCTTTCAGGCAGGTGTAGAGAGCAAGGGATAAGGGATTTGCAGTCTGAGTCCCTGTCAGTTGGAGAGCTGATTCCTCCAGTCTGAGTGCAGAACAGTTAGGTTTGCATTCAACAGAAATTTTGTCATCTTTAAACCTATCTGAAAGAGTTTGAGTTGCTGATGTGATGCTTATGACAGCTGATTGGTGATGGCAGGCCATTTTCCGCTGCAGTTATCTGACATGAAATTGACACTGATCTGTCATGAAGCACTGACTGGTCATTGTCATTTGGTTCTGGTCCTCAAAGCTCCTTTTTAACTCAGTGGGGTTTTAAGAAAGGCAGATGCTTAAAGAAACAAGAGCTGGCAGTGCACATCTGTTCCTATCAGGGTTAATGACGGTTCCTGTCTCTCAGGCTACCAGCCTGCCAGTTTTCACTGAATTAGAACTTGACAGTACATTTTGAAATTTGATTTCCCAGATCACCAATTTGTGATTGGTGTTTCTTTATGCAGACACCCAGCTGGATCTCGGAGCAGTGCTGGTGTTCTCTAGCCTGGGGATAAGCCGGAGCAGCACAGTAACCATGGCCTATCTTATGCATTCCTTCCAGTTTTCCCTGAAGGTACATCACTGTCATCCTTCCCACAGATACTGGCTGAATCTGCAGTTTATTTCTGCTCCTGAAGCCTCATTACTGTAGTAATGAGAAAGAATTTATCCGTGTATTCATGCAGAATACCCACCTGATAATGTAAGAGATTCTATTACATCTGTTGGATCTTCCTGGTGTCATTAAGGAGGTGGCATAGGTGTGATTTTGGATGTGTGAGTCCTTGCCTGGCACCTGTGATGTTCTTGTATTTCCCTGCTTAATAGGGAAATCCAGACCCACAGGGTATGAAAATAAGGCAGTGGTTACAGATCTTAGCTCTCCTACTCGGAGAAAAAGAGTATCTGGAAGCTATTAAGTTAGTCCCATCTCCTAATACCATAAGGTTACAGGGCAATTCATACCCCAGTGTTTGCAGAGCTCTGATTTACTACTGTGCTCATCAGCACCAACTTTGTCTGAAACCATTTTATTTCCCCAGAAGCAATCCCTTCCCACAGACATTACCATAAAGAAATCTGGAACAGGATAATACTAGCCCACAAGGGATGTACAGGTTAAAAGAACAGTACATCTTGTTCCAGAGCTCTGAATAACATAAGAAAAATAACAAAGGAAGGTTGAAAATGACCCTGAGGTGTGGAAAGACTAGTGGCCTCTCCCCAAAAGCAAGGCCATTTTTCCCTTTGCATACAACACATGGGCACAGTGCAGCTGTAGGCAATGGCTTGTGGTGCCTGCTTAGCACAGACCAGACTTCTTTCCTATGAAAACCAAAAGGTTTCTCCTTAAAAATCTTGTCCTCTTTTGTATGACCTCCTTTGGAAGCTGGAAAGGACTGACTCACACCTCACTGAAGCTGGGCCTGTATCTAATCATTTAATTGATTTTGTGCAAACATTTGCAACATAAGAGGAAATCTCTTACCATCAGTGTGTGCCAAAGTGTAATTTCAGGCTGAATGTGCCAGCCAGGCAGCAGACACTGCTTGGTCTTTGCCAGTAATGCTGGGTGTGAGTGCTCCAGTTCATTGATAACTGTTCCCTTTCTGTTTTCTCCTGCATGCTGAGTTACCAGAGGCATTTGCAACAGCAGTGTGAAAGTCAAAGGCTGGTCCTTGCAGTTTCTCTCAGTACTAGCAGGTTGGTCCCAACGCTTTGCCAAGTGCAGTGGTGTCCTGGAGCTGGCCTGGGCCAAGCTTTCCTGCAGGATTGCCCTGTCAGACTGGTTTGTTTCTTACAGGCAAAAGCAGTACAACAGACACCTGTGTGATCCTTCACCCAAGCTAGGCTAACATGTCCAAAAATGTCCCAAGGCAGAGATATCTCATGAGAAACACAGATTTGGGGTGTGTGCCCCCTTATTCTGTTAGTGATTGATACATCTGTGGAGTTCAGGGGAAGCACAGACATGCAGAACACAGGCACAGAGGAGTAAATACTGGAAGATCAGAGCCTGCAGAATTGCTGAGATTAGAAAAACAAATTCATGGAATGCTATCTTGTAACCTTTGGTCTCATTACGCTTAAGCAATTCTCTGATTGCTGGGGGGACTTTCAGAAGCAGGAAGATGAGCACTACTGGGGAAATCCAGGGGTGTAGCAAGAGTAAAGCAGTGTAACACTGGTGGAGTTGCCCTGCATGTAGCACAACCCCTAGCTGATTCCATGGAACTAGCAGATCATTAAGGTGGCTGTAATTAACATGGTGGGATAACTGGAGTTTAATAGCTGCTTTGCCACATCAAGGTGCAGTAGTTCAGAAACATGATAACCTTTGTCCCTCGTGTAAATAGCTGATACACTGCTGTTCTACTTATCATCCATGAAAGAATTAGCTCTTTGGAGGAGAAAATCCAGGACTGCATTTCTCCATTGGTGTAAAACAATGCAAGATACATGCCAGCTAACGAGAGAAGGCTGAGCTGTCCTCATGCTCAGGAAAGCAAGATGAAAAGATGAAAGGCTTCTTGCATGTTCACATCTGGATTCCATCTGTCCATAGTTTGGCAGCCAGAGACTTGTCTGCCAAAGTCAATCCCAGGGAGCAAACACAAAGCTGTTTTGTTCCCAAGCAGAGCTGCTTGGTGCAAATACAAGAAATTCATTTTCAGCTCTTATTTCTAACACTTCTTTGCTTTCTCTTTTCAGAAAGCTTGGGACTACGTTCTGAAATGCAAAACGAATGTGAGACCACACCGGGGCTTTGTGAAACAGCTTTCAGACTGGGAGGCTCAAATCTATGGGACCACCATCACTGATGTCTCTGAACCCAATTACTGAGCGCAGGAAAGGATGTTTCTTTGTCTGCCCCTTGCCTCATCTGTAGGTAGAAAGTGAACTCAACTCTGTTGACAAAGCTGTTAACATAGCTGAACTGTTTTTATCTTTAGCTTTAATAAATGGAGTCCATATTTGGAGCTGTTAGGGATGCTGGTGAGGGTGTGGGCTTGGGGAGAGCAAGGCCTGCAGGGTATGGCCCACTGAGCACAGTTTGCTTCTCCTGTAAGTTAGGGGGCTTGTGACCACATTACTGGGCATTCTCTCTGCCCCCAACTAGGGAGGTCGTTGGGGTTCTTTCTGAAAAGATTTGTAGAATCACTAAGATTGGAAAAGACCTCTAAGATATCAGTCCAACTGTCCACCTACCACCAGTATTGCCCACATCCCTCAGTGCCACATCCCCATGGTTCTGGAACATCTCCAGGGATGGTGAACCCCCTCCATGTACAGCTGTGCCGCTGCAGCACTGCTCTTTGAAGAATAAAGTGTTCCTCATATCCAACCTGAGTGTCCCCTGGTGCAACCTGAGGCCATTCCCTCTTGTCCTACTGAAAAAGTTCACTGACCCATGGCCTTGGATGGCAGATGTAGAGTGTGGGCTTGCAGCCCAGAGGCACACAGCATTTCCCCATTTTCAGGTGTGCTTTTGCTCACCCAATAACCTGACTTTGCCCAGCAGATGAATTTGAAGCCCCAAACTCAAGTCCGTATCACCCTCAGCCCTGCAGCACTACAAATTCCTTGCACTGATAGCACAAAACAAAACAAAACAAAACACCCTTGGCCTCTCCTTGAACAAAATCTATCACTGCATGTTTAGGTTGGCAGCACCGAAACCCCACAAGGCCAGGCTGTCTACTGCCCCTCCATCCTGTCCTTGAGCAGCGCAGGGCCGGCATGGCATAGCATGGCATGGCATGGCATGGCTGGCATGGCATAGCATGGCATGGCATAGCATAACATGGCATGGGATGGCATGGCACAGCATAGCATGGCATAGCATGGCATGGCGTGGCATGGTGTGGTGTGGCATGGCTGGTATGGCATAGCATAGAATGGCGTGGCATGGCTGGCATGTCATAGCATGGCATACCATGGCACAGCATAGCATGGCATGGCATGGGATGACATGGCATGGCATGGCATGGCTGGCATGGCATGGCATAGCATAACATGGCATGGCATGGCATGGCGTAGCATAGCATAGAATGGCCTGGCATGGCTGGCATGTCATAGCATGGCATAGCATGGCATGGCATGGCATGGCATAGCATAGCACGGCACGGCACGGAGCCGCCCCCCGGTCCGCCTCGCGGGGGCGTGCCCGGAAGCAGCAGCGCAGTGCCCGGGCCGTTCGCCGCCTCCTCCGTCTGTCCGTCCCTCCTTCCTTCCCTCCCGCTGCCACCGCCATGGCTTCGGTCGCCGAATGCCTGCGGGAGTGGGAGGAGCTGCAGGACGGCTTCCAGCGCATCCAGGTACCGGGGCCGGGGGCTGCACGAAGGGGGGCTGCTCAGGGCTCGGTGCCCGGCCGTGGAGCGCGGGGCTGCGGGGCTGTTGGGCGGGCGTGGCGTGGGGAAGCTGCGGGTCTGTTGGCACGGAGAGCCGCCCGAGCGGGGCGGGAGGATGCTGCTGGTCGCGGGGGGGGGACGCTGAGCTGAACCAGCCGGCCGCCCTCCGTCCGTCCGTTCGTCCGTCCCCGCAGGAACGGGCCGGGGTGCGCCGTGTAATCCCCGCGAGTGAGTGGGCAGGCATCAGCGCGGCCAGGGTCACCCGAGGGAAAGCTCGGCTGACCGGCTTCGCTCACAGCTCTTCCCTCTGCCCCTCCACCCCCGCGGGATGGGGCGAAGCGGATGCTGTTGCGGACTCAGCACAGCTGTGCCCGGATCTGGGGCAAGGGCGGCTCTGAGAAACGCGCTCTTGCTCCATAGGGGCCGGTCTGTGCATCCCGAAATCCCCGGGCTGGGACACAAGGAGCTCCCACGGAGCGCTTGGCCCAAACCCGGCTTGCTCGTGGCCGACCCCGGCGTGCCAGGAGCTCCTCTGGGAGCAGGGAAGGGTTTTCTGAGTGCAGACATCCCGCCCGAGGTCGGGGTGTTAGTCACCGTGGGGTGATCTGGGTCCGTCCCCACCTCACTGCTGGACACGTGAGGGAGAACGTGTTTTTTTTCCTCCTCTGTGTCTTGGTTTTCACCTTTCTCCTTTGGGAAAGGCTTTGACATCTGCTGATAAAGTCCCCGATAAGAACTGCAGAGGCTGAAAGGAGCGCACAGCAAGGTCTAGTCCAAGGGTTGTTGCAAACAGCGCTTCGTTCCTTGGTGGCTCTGGAGCTGCCTGTGGTCGAGGTGAGGTTGTTTTTCAGCTGTAGGACGAGAAGGAGCATTGGCATAGCACGGTCTCTCCTTTCCCTTCTAAATATAGCAGAAGAATGGCATCTAGTGTCACCCAGGTGCGGTTGGGTTACGGCGGCACACGGGGCCACCGGCATCCCCCGGGGTGAGCAGTGGGCAGCAGGCACAGAGCTCTGCTCTCCGGCCCATGTGGGGCCAGCAGCAAAACCACCTCTGGGTTCAGCCCCCAGCTGTACCCCAGTCCAGCACTGTGTGGGTCTTTCATGGTGTCACAACTGGAGAGCAAAGCTGTGGGTGCCACAGCCCTGAGCACGAGGCAGCTGAGCACCCAGCCTGCTGCTGGCCGTGCCATGCAGAATGCATCTTTACAGTGGGTAATGCACTCAGAGCTGGGAATGGGCTCCCCAAAAACACCTGGCTGCCCACTGCATTGTCTGACCGCTGCTGCATTCCCCACCCTGATGTGCATTGAAGTTACAGATGCAGCTGCATCGTTTCCATACATCGCACTCCTGGTTTTCTACTTAAAGATATTTCCATGCAGCAGCACAGAGGCTGTTGCTGTTCTGTTTTGCTGCAGTTTCTCACTGGGCTCAGAGCACCATGGTTCTCGGGCTGTTCTTGTGGGACAGGCATGCACTGAGTGCTCTGTGCACTGCTGGAGTGTGTACCTGCAGCACACACTGCTCTCATTCGCAGGATAACCACAGGTTGTACAAGCAGAAGCTAGAGGAGCTGACCAAGCTGCAGGATGGGATCTCCAGCTGCATCACACGGCAGAAGAAGCGGCTGAAGGAGCTGTCTCTGTCCCTCAAGAAGTAAGTTGGGGTGCAGGGAGGGAAGAGCTGCGAGGGCAGGGTTGTCGGACCCAGCTCAGGGCAGCACAGATGTTAGCAAAAGGCTGCTGAGATCTGGGTGTACCCTGGCACATCTTCCTCAGCTTTGCTTTCCCAAATTGTGCTTTTGAAGTCTTGCCTGTGTTTTCTGGTGATGGGATGAGCTTACCGTCCTCCCTGTGCTTTCCCTCCCACTCTCTTCTCTCCGGCATCTCCTCAGCCTGCCCCGCAGATGGAACTCTCCTCCAGTTTGCCGTTGCTGTCCTTGGGGTGCCCTTGTCCCATGCACAGCACTGTATCAAGTGCCAGCACGTGCTCGTGCTGTGACAGAGCCGATCCTGATGCCAGTGCCTGTGCTTCCTCCCCAGATGCAAGACCCACGTGAGTCCCGAACAGCGAGAGTCCATCCAGGAGATCCAGAGCCTGATCAAAGAGAGACAGAATGTTTTCTTCGAGATGGAGGCCTACCTGCCAAAGAAGAACGGGTGAGAGGTGCCCCATGTTTGCATGAGGACGGCCTCTTTGCCAGGAGCAGGCAGCACAGCTGGGGTTTGTAGGTGCCAGGGCCCCCTTGGGTGAAACCCTATGACATGCAGCACCGGGTCCCAGCAGCTGCAATGCCACGAGGCACAGCCCCATGGTCACCTGCAGGTGCCTGGGCAGCAGCCAGCCCAACTCTCTGCATGGCGTCCTCCTGCTGCCCTTGAGCAGCTCCTGGTGGAAAATGTCTGGGCAGGGGATGTGGTGCCTGTCAGCAGCACGGGATGTGTTAGGAAAGGTGATAGCTGTGCCTGGCCCGGTACACAGGCAGCTTTGTGCAGTCTCCCACCTGAACACCTCTGCTCTCTCCCCAGGTTGTACCTGAGTCTGGTGCTTGGGAATGTGAACGTCACACTGCTCAGCAAGCAGGCTAAGTACGGCCCTGCAGCACCGCCATCGTGTGCGTGGGGAGGCTTGGGGTTCTCTTGTCACCGGGGAGTTATAGATCTGCCCAGGCTGAGCTGCAGCCTGTGAGTGCAGTACATGCAGGCATGTGGCTGGCTTTACCCCCTTGGCGCAGATTCCTTGCCAGATCTGTCCATTTCTCCCTTTCCTGGAAGCAGTCCTCAGTCCCTGCTTAGCTTCTGTGACCAGGCTGGGACGAACCACTGGCTGTAATGAGTTAAATGGGATCCACCACCAAAGCTGTGCCTGAGTTTCCCATGTGTTTGAGACTTCAGGAGAGACCCAGCTGTGGGGAAGCGCTGGCTATGGCAGCCAGTGCTGACAGCCCCCATGGTGGGACACTCAAAGCGAGAAGTGCTGAGCAGTGAGCCCCAGGCCCTGCTGTCTTGTTCCATGGGCTCTCCATGAAATGCACCAATTTCTGCTCAGCTTCCTGGAGTCCCTTGGGCCACCTCCCCAGCTGGCATGGCTGTGGAATGATGCAATGCTGCCCTGTGGTTTACTCTCCTCTCAGAAGTGTTTGGGGGACAAGGATTTCCTTAGCTCTTGCAAGAGGTTCCCAAAAGGGCATCCCTTTTGTCCAACCAAGTAAGAGGGGAGGATGCAGCCTGCCAGAGCCACCTTGCTCCAAGTCTGTCCTTGTACACCCCTGCAGGTTTGCTTATAAAGATGAGTATGAGAAGTTCAAGCTCTACCTCACCATCATCCTGCTCATTGTGTCCTTTTCCTGTCGGTTCCTTCTAAACTCCAGGTGAGTCTGCTTGGGGTGCTGGGAAGAGTTGTCCTCCCAGAGCCCCTGTATTCATCTCTGGTCCTGAAGAGCCCAAAGCAACACTAAAGCTCAAAAGATGGAGCTGAACAGGAGGTCCCAAAAATGGACTGACTGCCCCAACCTTGTAGCTCTGCCCCTGCCCTGGGGACACGGTGGCCTCCCATGGATGAGCATCCTGCAGGGATGTTGTCTCCCTGCTGTCTTTTCACCCTGCTTTGTTTGCCAGGGTGACAGATTCTGCCTTTAACTTCCTCCTGGTGTGGTACTACTGCACGCTGACCATCCGGGAGAGCATCCTGATCAACAACGGATCCAAGTGAGTCTCTTGTGTTTTGGTGTGGGCAGTTAGTTCTTCTCTGTGGGCTGAGATTGTGCACCCATCACACAACTCAGTGCTTCCCAGGGATGCAGCTGACACCTCCTACTCAGGGTGTGTAACAAACCTTCATAATTAGCCCCCGTACAGTAATTAGCTGTGGTTTTGAGCAGCTGCTGGGGAGGGAGGGCGGGATGAACTCACTGTGTGGAGGTGGTGCAGAAGGTGCGGTGCCCTGGGTACCACCTGGGCTGGAGGCGCTGGGTCCTGCTCCATGCACGTCCCTTTCGTAACCACCTCTGCTCCTTGCCTTGCCCTGGGAGCTGCTAGGTGGCTGGCACGTGGCTGGCTCTGCTTTCCTGTGGTGCATTTGGATCCCAATTCATGACCCCTTGCCTGTGTCTGTCTTCCAGAATCAAGGGCTGGTGGGTTTTCCATCACCACATCTCCACGTTCCTCTCAGGTGTCATGCTGACTTGGTAAGTCTGCATCCTCAGCTCCTGCATGTAGGGACCTGGCCTGCCTGTGCCATGCCAGCCTGGCTGATGGGGCCTTTGCTCTCCGTGCCCTAACCCACAGCTGTATTCCTCCCCATGAGCATTATGGTATAATGCTCAGCTCCACGCTTCCTCAGCAGGCCCAAGCACCCCAAACCAAAGCAGCCACCAGCACCTCAGTGAGGCAGGCAGCACAGCCCGGGTCTCTGTTGGGAAACACTGTTCCCAGTGTGTTGCAATTCTTGTCCAAGAGCTGTGCAGTGTTTTCCTGACCCCTGTCCTGCCAGCCTCCTACTCCCTGCCTTCCCAAGCTGGGCAGATAGTGTTATGTGAGACGCTGACACCGAGGGTCTGTGCTGTGGTCCCCCTGTTCTGCTGGGAGCTGGCAGCAGTGCTGTGACCTCAGCTGTGGGGCAGGCAGGGTTGGCAGCATCTCCTCACTCCCACACACCCCTATCAGTGTCCTCTCTCCGCAGGCCAGATGGGCTCATGTACCAGATGTTCAGGAACCAGTTCCTCTCCTTCTCCATGTACCAAAGTAAGTGCTGCCATGCCTGCTGGGCCAGGACCTGCCTGCTGTGGTCAGGCGTGCTGTGCTGCCCAGCTCTGCAGTGGAGAACTGACTGTGGATACTCACAGCCCACTGGGGTTTTCTCTAAGCTCTTCTCCTGCCTTCTGCCTCCTGGGAGCCAGGAAAAGCTCTATGCACAGGCAACTCAAAGCTGAGCCGGTGCTGAGCCCGCAGGCTGGTGCCTCCTGCCCTCATCCACTCTCTTTGCAGGCTTCGTGCAGTTCCTCCAATACTACTACCAGAGCGGGTGCTTGTACCGGCTCCGAGCACTGGGTGAGAGGCACAACATGGACCTCACTGTGGGTAAGCCAGGATCTTCCCTAAGGTTGTCCTGGTCCAGCTGGACATGCTGTCACCTCTGCTCCTGACAGCAACCCCACTCCCAGGGCCAGGCTGGTGCTAGGCTAAGCGGGTGCTGTGTTCCTGTTAGAAGCAATGGTGGTAGTTATTTTTGTTCCAAGACTGGTCTGACTGTGGTTTATGAGTGGTGGCATCAGAAAAGATGACACAAACATAGCCAGTATCCCCCCAGCGCAGCCTCTGCAGCCCAGCTCTGGCTGAGGGCAGCCCTATGGGAGCAGCTTCCTCCAAGGATACCCACTGTAGACCCCAGGGATAGGAAAGCTGCCGCAGTCCTCCCACACTCCCTGCCCTGTAGTGCCCTGCAGGGCCTCAGCCAGGCATGGGATGGCCACTGAACCTCCCTGCCCTGGCCTTTGGAGCTCAGCTCTGTCCTGGCCCCCATGAGCACATTCTCAGCAAACCTTCATCCTTTGCAGAGGGCTTCCAGTCCTGGATGTGGAGAGGCCTCACCTTCCTGCTTCCCTTCCTCTTCTTTGGACAGGTGAGTGCACCAACCCTCCTGGGGACACGTGGGAGGCCTGGGGTGGGACTGAGCTACACCATTCCTCACTGTGCCCTGCAGCCTGGGCTGCTGCAGGCACACAGTACAGGTGCCAGAGGCTGAGCCTCCTCTTCTTCCCCCAGAGCACACACCTCTGACTTGGCTAGTGAGATGTGGAGCTGGTGGTGCTGCCAAGTGCTTGAGCGCTGTGTAAATACAGCAGAGGGGCTCTGACAACCCTTCTCAAGCCCTTCTGAACTTCAGCTCTTAGCTGCTATGGAAGGTCCAATTCCACCATTTAGGCTGATGCTCACTCCAAGCCCCTGTGGGGTTTCATGGCTGCACAGAGGCAGGCTGGCCTCATGCGTGGGAGCAGCCAGCTGAGCATCAGCGTAAGGGTGAGCCTTTGACAATCCCTAAGCCTCCTTTCTCCTGCAGTTCTGGCAGCTCTACAACGCCGTCACCCTGTTCCGGATGCTGCAGCACCCAGAGTGCAAGGAGTGGCAGGTAGGGGTGGCTCATGGGTGGCTGTGTGGGGAGGGGTGTCCATCCCTGCTGCCTCACAGCTCTGTGGCTCCCGCAGGTTCTCATGTGCGGCCTCCCCTTCTTCATCCTCTTCCTGGGGAACTTCTTCACCACCCTTCGTGTTGTGCACCAGAAGTTTCAGAACCAGAGCAAAGACACAAAGCGGAACTGAAGAGGAGCAGCACAGGGGCCAGGACTGTTTCTCCCTCCTGGCTCCATCCCATTCCCATCTCCTTGCCTTGATGCCGTCCAGACTCTGGTGTCTCACCCATTCTGTGCAAGCCTGGATGCAGGACAGAGCTGGGGGCTTGCATGTGAATAGAGAATGTGTTCTCTGTGGTGCTGAATCTGTGCCTGTGTCACTCAGCAGGCAGCAGGAGCACCCTGCAACACTGCCTCGGGGTGGAACAGGGGGCCTGGGGCCCTGAAGCCACATACAGGAATGCTGCCCTTGCAGCCCCTACAGCAGGGAGGCTGAAGGCTGCACACGTGCTGCTCTTTGGGATGGAGCACTCTGAGTTCCTCCTCACCCTTCAATGTGAAGAGGGGCTGAGCAGGCAGAGCTGTGGGCACAGGAGGAGTGGGAACACTGCGAACCTGAGAACCAGGCTTCACAGCTCCCTGGCCTTACATCTCTGGAGGATGCATATGCAAAAATAATAAAGGGAAGGTACTTCCTTGGTTCGTTGGGGTCCTGGAACAGAGCACAGGCATTGTTCTGTACTCAGGCAGTCTGGCAGTGGGCTGTCATTGCAGGGGGGGGAGGGATGAAAGTCGTTTCCAGCTGCTCTGCACCTGCCTGGGGTGAAGCACAGTTGATTGGGGCAACACAGTAATGGGAGGGCTGAGCAAAGCCACGCTATTGGCTGATGCTGCAGAACAAACAGCAGCACACAGCCCAGTGCAGTGTCCCTAAAGCCCTCTGCTACTGCAGGGACCTCCTGAAACAAGCAGTGTTGTGTCACCTCACTTGGCAGCCCCTGTGTGCTCTCCCCATCTCCTTGGCGGGGGGAAGGTTGGAGGTAGCAGCTATTACTTCTCCTACCTCTCTCTTTCCTCCAGTGGACCAGAAGGAAGACAGAAGGGCAAGCAGCAAGCTACAGAAACAATGTTTTATTCCAAGGGCAAGTATATTTAAATAATTTACAGTCATTGGACAGCCTGAAAGGTTTTTTTTTTTTCTCCCATGATTAAAATCACAAAGATATTGAAACAAAAACAGTATTTAAAAAAAAAATGAGCGTACACAGCTTGACAGAGGGGCTGGGAACAGGGGAGCTGCTGGCTGCAGGGCCCAAGGGAGCCAGCAGGACCCTGCAGCTGTGACCCCAGACTGGGCTGTAGGGAGGGAAGAGGAGCTGCCCCCTGCCCTGCTGAGTGCTGGAATACAGGAGGGCTGCAGGGAAATAGGGGGGGTGCCTGCAGGTCCTGGCTGGGTGCAGGCTGTGCCTTTTCCTCAAGAAGTAACCTGTAGTCATCTAGTGACAGCACGGGGCATAGGAGCTAGCCCTAGAGAGGGTCGAACAGCAGGAGAGGGATGAGAGCAGATCACTGCCCCACACTGAGCCCTCGCACCAAACCTGCCAGGTTCCTCCACCCCCGCTGCCATCCCCAGCCTGCAGGGCACAGGGGTGGTCTGTAGTTCCAGAACGAGGTGCCAGGAAATAAGGCAACACCCCGTGTTCAGAAAAGACCCCAGAGCTCCCCCAGGGCCATCCATCCCTCCTGCCCCACATCCCCAGGGCAAACACTGGGGACAAAGCCTCGGCCACCCCCTGTCCCTCCACCTGTCCCCTTCCACCACCCAGGGTGCACAGCCCACCCTGGGGGCAGAGGAGGGGTTGGGGTGACAGTGGGGTAGCTGGAGGCTGGGGACAACGCAGTCACCCACAGGAACAGTGGGTGGGAGGGCACCTCCTGCGTTCTCTCCCTGGCCCCACCATCCTCTCTCTTAGCTCCACACATCCAAAGAGTACCGGCCCTTAGTCATCAGTTTCTTTACATAGTCCACGGCCTGAGTCTGATTCATGTTCCCATACTCAGCCACGATCTCATAGAAAGTGTTCTGCACATCCCGGGCCATGTTGCGGGCATCCCTGGAAAGAAGAGGACTGTGAGTGAGGTGATAACACACAGCAAATAAGAGCTGGCTGTCCCTGAACATGTGGATGGGGGCAGTTTGCCCAGCCCAGCCCATTTACCTGGATGCTCACTGTCCCACTGAAAAAAAGAGCGAGCAAGCGGGTAAATGGGAGCACACTCATTTTTCAAAATATAAGAACATTTATCCCAAAGTCCCTTCCTTGCCCCAGGACTTACCCACACACATAGATATGAGCATTTCCATCATTCACCAGCTTCCAGATGTGTTCCTTGTTCTTCTTTATTAAGTGTTGGACATAAACCTGGCAAGAAACAATGGGCTGTGTCACAGGCCCAGGGTGGGAAGCCAAGCCCATGCTCATAGACCCCCCCATCCCACACAGCACCACACAGCAGCAGAGCAATTGGGTGCTCCTTTGACTGCCATGGGCCTCAAACAGCAGGGCTGGCTGTCCCCAGTCCTCAAAGCCTTATTTATCCCCACCATCACAACTTGATCCTTGCGCTTCCCTTCCAACTCAGGATACTCTATGATTTTAGGGGAGTGATGCTGGGCAATGGGAGCAACTGTGTGAGAGACAAGAGGGGTACCTTCTCAGCCTGGTCCCTGGAGAAGGCAACGTTGAGCTGGGTGAGGACGCCCTCCTGCTTGAAACGGGCCAGCTCCTGGCGGTACAGGTAGTCCTCCTGCTCACGGCGACAGCCGTAGTACAGCACCGTCTCACCCACCTCCTTGCCTGCGGTCACAAAGCACCCATCAGCCCCTTGCAGCCCCCTGGCCCTCCTGCTCTCTCTCCACCTTCTCCTGTTCTGCTCACCCAGCCCAGGGTTGGCAGAGCTGTTGCTTCTGCTTATGAGAAGCTCAAGGCTGATCCCAAGATAGCTACGTGCTTTAGAAATGAGTCCAAGTGACCTGCCTGTGCTTTTCTGGAGAGGTGGCAGAAGTCAGAGAAATAGCTTCCATCTACCTGCCCTCCAAGTGCCCCCTGTGACCAGCAAACAAGGACAAAGTCTCCTTGTGCTGGGACAAAATACTCTGCCCTTCATCTGCAGTCATCTCCCCAACCCATTTGATGCGGGCAGCACAAGCTGCACCCAATGGAGGCACCGACCAGCCCAGCAGGGCACCCCTCAGTGCCCAGGGGGAGTTTTGGGTTCTCACCTTGCTCCTTCAGCCAGGCCCGCTCCTGTATGAAGCCAATGAAGGGGGCTATGCCTGTGCCCGGTCCGATCATGATGACAGGTGTGCTGGGTTTGAAGGGCAGGCGGAACTGCGACTTCCGGACATACATGGGCACCAGGGAGTTCCTCCCATTCTCGTTGGGCACCTTGTTCTTCAGCCAGTTGGTGGCCACCCCTTTGTTCAGCCGTCCCGTCTTGGTCTCGTACTCCACCGTCACAGCGCAGATGTGGATGGAGTTGGGGTGAACCTGCAGGAAGGGGATGTCAGTGCAAGGCAGAGGGAGCCCCGGCTCCCCAGGCTGGCTGCGATGTAGGACAGAAAAAATTTCCCTCTCCAGAAGTTGGGATAACACAGAGCAAATTCCCAAAGTCCTGTCAATGTCAGAGCAAGGGGACTGTGGCACCGCGGAGCTGAAGCTAAATGGCTTTCTCAGCATCCTTTGTGCTGCATGCTCACCTTGGAGGAGGAAGCAATGGAGTAGTAGCGGGCCTGCAGACGGGGCAGGAGCTCACACAAGTGGTCGATGGGGGGACGCAGCGAGGGCATGTCCTGCAGGATGGCCAGGATGTTCCTCCGGGCCTCCACCACCCAGCTGAGGTAGAGAGCCTGTGGACAAGGAGAGCACACCCATGACTTCTCTACAAAACCACAAACACACCCCACAGCTCTGACCATGACACGGTGCCTCCCCTGAGGGCATTCCCCAGGCCCAGCCCAACCCGTAGCTTTGCTGGGGAGGCTGCAGCTCACACCTTCCCCTCAGCAGTGGATGATGCCATCTTTCGGAGCTGCTCCTGCTCCCCAGTGTCTGTGGCATATTGGGCCAGCTCATAGAGCACGTTGGTGCGGGGAGGGTTGGTGATGTCCAGGTAGTACGTCAGCGCTGTACGGTAGGAGGTGGGGCAGGGGAACGGGTGTTTCTTGTTGGATTCCTCTGGAGGAGAAGAGAGAAAGAAAGAAGGATGTCAGCAACTGCTTGCTGTTATGTTAGATTTCAGCCATGGACATTTGGGAAAGCGAAGTACCATCAGTCAAGGCTGGAGACATTCAGTTTAGCAAACTAAGAGCAAGTAAGGGGCAGGAATGATTGTGTGAGGCCAGGCAGCCCACGATACCACACAGGAGTCTACAGCCTCTAGCAGAGCATCTACTCTTCGGAAATAAGAAGCCAGCTCTTGGACTTCTGGGCCAGCAGCTCTGATGCCTCAGGTCAGGCGTTGCTGTTTCAGGAGTAACACAAGCAGCAGCTGCAGCCTCCCTCCTGCCACAGGCCAGCTCTGCTGGGAACACTGCCCAAGAAAAGCTCTTTGTATCAGCACTGAAAAGTGCTCTCTTCTGGCATCTCAGTCCCCAAGTCTGTACATCCTCCAGGGACTGAAAAACAGTGTTTCAGACTCAAAAGCTCCCATTGAGCTCTGGAGCTGCTGCAGCAGAGGGATGCTCTGGTGGGCTGCTGCTCTGTAATTAGGAGAACGCTGTTACATAATTTGTTGTTAAATGGGCACACCAAACATTTCACAACTGATCCACTTCAGCTGGCTTGCAGCAAACAGGCTCTATGCCACTACTGCAAACCACATTTAGAGTGGCCATGGGGTGTCTCTGCCTGGAGGTGTCCTACAGGACCTGAGGGTGATCTGACTCTTGCTGCAGTGTGAAGGCCAGAAGCTATGGCAGAAGGAGAGCTGCTGATGTGCACGGGTGATCCATACTCACCATCCAAATTGTTTAGTGACATGACTGTATCCAGATCCGTGCCCAGAATCTCGCCAAACTGATTCACCAGAGACGTGTCATTGGCTGGATAAACAGCCACGTGGTCCCCAGACTCATACCTGGTACAAGAACAGGAGGAGAAGAGATGAAATACAGGCTCTACTTCTTGTCCATGTCATGCCTGAGCTGCTCAGCCGGAGGACAAGCAGGCTGCTGGTTAGTAAGACAACACCAAGACCTGAGCTGCTACACAGCACCTGCAGGATAAGGGACCCCAAAGAGACAGCAGTCATGGTAGTAAGGAGCCATCAGATGCTTTTTTTCCTTTTCTACATGGGAGCCCCAAAAATAACAGCAGTTTTCCCAGAGCCTACCTGATTTTGGAATTGGAGATATCCAGCTCCAGGTGCATAAGGTGTCGCTCCCCACCCTCATTCAGCTTACGGTTCTCTGTAACCACAGCCAGGAAGGGGTTCTTGGCATCAAATGGCCTGGAAGGAAAGAAGGCCCCTCTGGGTTACTCTCCTCCAGGCTCACAGTACTGCTTTCATCTAAGTATGTTCCTTCTGTCTCCAGAGCAGGGTCCCACTATTAGAGCACAGGGCCATCCTGGCTCACGTTTCAAAGCACACCACAGCACAAAACTTATGCTGTTGCTGCCCACGTTTGACAGAGAAAACATTTCCTTCTAAGTACAGCCCAGCAGCCAACAGCTCCTACCCCATTATGAACAAGTGATGCAACAGCGGATTAGAGGGAGTGTCACCTCTCAAAATGGTATTTCAGGTTGTAATTCATTTACACAATTAATCTCCCCACAGAAATACCGCAAGCAATCATCACACATTAACCACTCCAGGGGAGGAAAGGTTCTGACTGACCTTAGGACAAATGCTGCACACTTACCAGCCAAACAGTGTTAGGTGAACACAGCCAACCCCTCAAACACTAATGACTCATTAACTGTGGAACCCCTGAGAGTTCCAAGGGACATCTGAACCCATTTCTCTTGGTCAGATGTCTGCCATGTGGCTGTGTTGCCAAGACAACACTGCCTGCATGGCTTGTGCAGTTAGAAACATCAAGAATGCTATTGGCCAAAGCCTGGCCCAAGGACACCCTGCCAGGGCAGTCTGGCACTTACGGCTTCTGGTTCTCGTAGCTCTTGAGACGGCCCATCTCCCCAGTGTACACCTTGTTCATGTTCACATCTGTGTGCACCACCAGCTCATACTGGCGGATGCTGGAAGAGAAAAGGGGACAGAAGAGAGGAAAAGTCAAATTGGAAATAACAAAGGTACAATTGGAATCATCATCTGCTTTACTGGGTTTGCTGCAGTTTAAACAAGTGACACTTCTGCCCTTCACACCTCTTAACACAGCAGGAAGCAGGGCTGTAATGCTCAGTGCCCAAACCAAGAAGAACTATCAACTCTGCTGGGAGCACTGCAAATCCGTTTGTGCACTCAAGCTTGGAAGAGGCAACAGCTTGCAGGAAAGAGGACAGCAGCTCAGGCCTGATGGCACAGCTGCCACTCAGACGTGGCCAACCTTTCTGGCACCCAGAAGAAAATGCTCCCATACTCACCTGGATTCCTCTCCTGTAGCCTCCACCCCAAAGTGCTCACACACTGCTGGCCAGAACTGCTCTCTCCAAGTGATGAAGTCTTCTTCCAGGCTAGATGAGGAGAAAGGGAGTTTCAATATTCCTGCTCAAGAGGAAGCAGAGGGATGTTCCCAGAAGAGCCAACTGAGATCCCTATGGACTTCCTCCTTCACCATGGGAAAAGGCATCTGCCCATGGACCTAGTAAGTTTTGTTACCTCCATATGCTCACACATCACCAAAAGAGCATCTTCAGAGCATTGAGCATGAGGAAGGGAATTCCTGCTACACCTCCCTTGACAGTCACAGAAGGCTGTAACTCAGGCTCGGTGTCTTTGCCCATCTCAGCCACCCCTTGCCCATTTCTGGTATTAGGTTACCTTCCAGATTCCAATTTTGAAAAGTTTATTTTCCTAAATTCAGAGTCTCACACACAGGGCAGATCCCTCTAATTAGATCTTGCCATCCTTGGAGGCAAAACCACAGGTTAATGTAATTCCTGAAGTTAAGCTTCTGCCAAGATGTTGTTCAGGTAAGTACAAACAATTGTTCTTGGACTATGAGTTGGAAAACTGCTGCATTCTACCATAAAATAAACAGCTCACAAGGAGATGGAGCTTATCTCATCTGCAGGGATGAGAGGGTTTCTCCATCCAGGCAGGGATATCAGTAGAGCTGCAGAAGTGCAAAGGCAGAAGAGGCTGTGAAACCTCATGAAATAAACAGTTATGGTCATTTCAAGCTGATGCTGGATTTCAGCAAGGTATACGGGGTAAAAGTGACTAATTTATGTGAGAGCAGATGCACTCAGGGACATGGCAACCACCATAAATAGCCATAAGGAGTTTACCTCTGTCTTAGCAGTAGAGCCAACACCTTGCTAGGGACCCTTCCATGTTGCTACAGCCAGCTCAGAGCAACCCTTCAAGCCGAGCTACTCACTTGCCATCATCATCTCCCAGTCCAAGCTCAAAGATGCGCTGGGCTCCAAGCTCCTCCAATCTCTTGTCCACATATTTCCCCATGGCATTGAAGTGCTCGTAAGTCTTGTTCCCCAACCCAAAGACCTGGAAGAGAACACTGATAGTCATGGAAAAGCAGGAATTGGATTTCCTCCATCAGACAGCATCCTCTGTCCTTCCCCTCCCACAAAATGCCCAGCAAGTGCTTACAAACTGCTTCTTACAGAGCAGCTTAACATCTCCAGCACTGCATTTTCCTTTCATTTGCAATTGTGATGCTGCCTAAGAAATTTGGCTGGCGTTTAGGTGAGGTGGCTGTATCTCAGCCAATTATTCAGCTCAGCACAGAAAAAGAGCCACACTCTCCTCCAAGTGATTTAATTTGTGAGAGAGGATCTAGCCAAGGACTGTTCAATTAGATCCTGAACAACAGCAGCAGCCTGTAACTCATTTACAGACCTTATATTCAATGTCTGTTGGGCTGTTTGGGCAAGACATCACCAGCAAACCCTTGTGATTTAGGTAGTGGAGAGAGCTCACTGACAGCCACATTTAAAGCACTTCGATATATGTTTGCAAATATCTGTGCAGCTTGGAGAGGAAGACAATAAGGACTATATTCAGAACAGTCATAGAAGGCATAGACATCATGTTGTGTTTTTACCCAAGCCATGTGCAAGCACAGTGGAAGGTTTTTGACCTTCTTGCCCAAATACAGCAAAAACTGGAATTAAACCACTTACAGCAAAGCGGAGACCTGACAGGTCAGCATCAGCCTCCTGCAGCCAGTCGTAGAAATCTTGGGCATTGTCCGTAGGATCACCCTCACCATATGTGGCCATGCAGAACACAGCCAAGGACTTGTCAATCTCAGAGAGGCGACTCAGGTCCGACTACAAGCAAAGCAAAGAATAAATCCTCAATATGATCACGCAACGTGATTATTGAGCAAGCCTACGCCTACACTGCAGCTACACCCCTGGTGCACAGAACAGCACCACATCATGTCAAACAACTGCTTACAAAAGGGGTTGGGGAAAGGCCAAACCCATCTGAAATGGTAAGGAAAATAAAGCTAACTATACCACTGGATTGCGAAGTTAGTACTTCTGCTCCACCAGAAAAGTGATGGGATTTTCCATTCAGGCTTAAGGTACCAGGATTAACGTTCCATCTGAAGAATAATACAATGTCAATCCCTCTGTGCAAGACTGCAGCAGTATGGTACCAATGCTGACTGCAGAAGGAACACAGAGGAAGTTTCATGCTGCCAGCAGATGACTTGTAAATCCCAAGCACTCCAGGCTACATTCCTTTTTCAGCCACATTCACCCAAACCCATAGACTGACAAGGACCAAGACCACCTCTGCAACTCTGAGTATGACCTAATTTCATTTCCTTCTCTAAGTGAGACTACTAAAAGGGCAACAGTCCCTTGGCCATACCCTGAGGCTGTGTTCATGGCTAAATTACCAAGTCATACTCCTCTGGATCTGCTGCCATGCCACGGAGACCATAGCGGTGAGCGTCTTTGGAGAGGCGATTGGCAAATTCCTCTGCTGTACCCGTCTGGGAACCATAGAAAACCACTATGTTTCGCCCCTGGAGAGAAGAAAAACAAGCTGTTAAATGGCAATTACTCATTTGGCAAACATACAGAGCAAGCACATCTTATCAAAATGGAAAAGCCTGGGATCAGGAGTCCTGGACTGAAGCTTAAAGGCAACTAGGAGCCTGCATTTGTACAGGACTTCACACCAGGCTAAGCTGTTAATAGGAATATGATCCGTGTCAGCCTCAGGGAGGCGACTCAGGTCAATCTAAAATTACAGCAAAGAATAAACTTTCAAGGTTTATTCTCAGCCTCAAAGCTACAAAGTGACTCCAGAAGGCAGGAAACTCCCTGGACAAGACAGACTTGCCAAAACTTTGGGAAGGTGTCTGAGTACAGGAGCTCCTGCTCCACAGCAAGCCAGTCACTTTGAAGTAAAATGGAAAATACATCCAGCCCTTACATTTTCCCCTGCTTCCTCTTGCACCCAGTCCAGCAGAGTCCAATCTGCCAGATCTGTGTACAATTCCCATTCCAGAGTGAGCCTGGTTTGGGAATCAACCACAAAGATGAACAACTGCCAGCCAATGATTTCAAAGTCTCTGCCCTTTCCATCCAGACTTTGATCTCCTATTACACTTCTTTTTTTTTCTTGCATCAAATTGTCAATTTAATTTTTTCTCTCTAAGAACAATGTTCAGGCAGAGACTGCTGTGAGCTATTCCTGCCTCCCACACAGACTGCCTCTGGATCCAAGTCAGTCCCACTGCTGACAGCCAACAGTCTCCAGAGGATAAAGGGAATGACATGAGCTCTGTCACCCTCCCAGCACCTAGAGCAAGCAGCTTACCGTCTTCTTCATCTTCTCAATGAAGCTGCTATCTCTTGCTGGGGATGATCTGAAAGACAGAAGAAACCTCTTTTCAGATGAGTACATTCATTCTGTAAGGTCAGAGAGAAACAAATGGGGGAAAACCAGCCCCTGGGCTGTGTCAGATCTCAGCAGGGCTACCAAAGTGGTGAGATGCCCCATCAGCCACTGATATTTAGCCTGTCCCAGGGATATCCAGCGCTCAGCTGCAGGATGACTGCTCTAGGACAGACACAGAGCAGGGGAAAAGCCAGCTGCCAGCCTTACCTCCTTCAGGAAAGCATGCTGCAGGCAAGGCCCAGGAACTCAGCCCTGGGCAGCAGGAAACTTTCACTCTGAAAACTAAAAAACTGCTGGTTATGAGAACCTTGCAGAACAGCACATTTTCAGATAACTCTCAGAAGCCAAGCCATGGAGTGAGATGGGGAGAACACCCTGCCTCTGCTCCTCTGTGGTGGGCAGGCTTTGGTTCTGAGCCATGCCTCAGGGGAGGATTCTCCAAGTGTGAAGTAAGACAAGGCTAAAAACCAGCTGTTCTGATCTCAAAACAGACCCTGCAGAGCAGATGGGCACACAGAGGCTCAGTGGTGGATCAGTCTCTGGCAACACGAATGCTGCCCTCTGAGGTCCCACGGGGTTAATTTCCACACTGGGGTTTCTGTCTCCAGCACAGAGGTACTTGCTTTATTGCAAGTAAGTGGCTTTCTCATGCTTGAAAGTGGGAAAAACCATGGCAGTCAAAAAGATGCAGGCAGAGATTCACAGCACTATGGATACCCTATTATTTAGGAAGCCAAGAGAGCTTAACTATCCTAAATGCACTCGTGGGCTTTTAGTGTCACACCACGAAAGCAATGTAACCCTGCTGACAAGTGGGCCCTCTGGGAACCCCACAAGCAGACACAGCTCCAGCTACAGACAGATTAGACACTGGGGTCTCTTCAAGGCAGGCAAACAAGTGCCAGGAGCTCACTTGCTGTCTTCCCTGCTGAAGCTTTGGTAGCAGGGAAGAGAGGAACGTGGGACCGGTTCCCATTCCTCTTTCACAATGGAAGAATGCAAGGCTGGGTCTCCTGTGGGAAGAGAGAAGCCTCCAGGCAAAAAACAAATGGTTTTGGCTCCAGCCCATGCGAGAATGTGCAGAGCTCACTAACAGTTTCCTAAACCCTGCAGCCCAGAGGGAGGGATCTGTGCGGACGTGCTGAGACATCTGCAGAGTGCACACACAGAGCAGCAGGGTGGGGGCATCCAATCCAAGCACCCCTTTCTACCCAAACTTCCTAAGGAGCTCCACAACCAGACCTGGTAGCTCTGAGCAGTTATATCCCCAAGCACCATGTATGAAAGATGGAGCAAACCCTATCCAAAAAAGACACTCACAGAGGCTGTGCTCACAGGAGAGTGCTGCTTTGTGCCCCCATTTGCCCCCTCCACGGCTGTGTCTTCATTTGTACCCCGCTGGGAACAGGGGCACTGCAAGCACCTTTCACAGAGCAACCCCAACCCTGCCCCTGCCAGAACCCAGGCTCTGCAGAGCTGCCCCCACATGTCCCAAAGCCCACAGGACTCTCACTTCACTTCTGGCTCCCATGTGAATCTCTTTCGTTTACTGCCCTCTGGAAATGAGATCCAATTAAAATAGCTGTTAGGTCAACTGCTAACCAGAATGCTTTTAAAGGGAGAAAAAATAAGTTTGAAATCCTTTCAGTAAGTTCCCTTTAAAGGAGAAGAGGGCACACATGGAGCTAGTCCACTTTCAAAGGAGGCAACCTCACATTGAAGAGCTGTGGTGGAGAACAGACTGTGGCTCAGACACAGAAGAAATGAATCTGGCTTCTGTTAAGAAAAACAAAAAAACAAAGCCACAGAATTCCCTGAAACTGTTTCATCCAGGATGGCTTCAAAATCTGAGCTGTAAAATGCAGAAATACTGAAGACAGAAATGGCACTGATTTTCATTGTTCAGCCAGGAAAAGTTAGGAGAGAAAACACATTTTCAGCAGTGACCACTCTTATGGTTTAACACAGCTCACGGTTGTGTTTATTATAGAAAAAGTGATGGGTGGAAGAAAGGAGATTAACTCCTTTGTTGAAGCAAGTGTACAGAGATTGCCCACCCTCGCTGAGAGCCCAGAGCACAGACAAGTCCCAAGGCACTCTCACTTTGATTTCAGGAGGAAAAAGGGTGGAGTGGAGGAAGTTCTGGCAGGCAGCTCAACATTACTGAAGTCTGAAGAAAAGGTGAAACAGAAAGCTCCCACACCTGCCTTACCTACCGAAAACAAATGCACATCCAGAAGCAAGAATGCAGCTTGGCTGCTGCATAGAAATTGCTCTCACCCAAGCACCCACGCTGGGTACCTCCTTCACAGCAGCCTGCCTCCAAGCAGAGTCTCTCCCTGCTTTCTCCTCCTGCTCTGAGTCTTTCCCTTTGCCCGCTGGGCAGTTCACTCACCTGGACACAGCCGCCTCTTCTCCTGGCACCGAGTACACACATCCCATGGTCAGGGCAGGGAAAAGGCAAACAAAGAGTCCCAGGGCAGCTCTCTCTGTCTGCAAGGGGAGGTGTGGGGGAAGGATCTAACTTAGCTCTGGAGAAACATGCACACAGGCCTTTCCATTCTGCTCCTTCTGGGCATTGAAGCCAAGCGTCAGCCTTTTGTTAAGTAGAAGAGAGCCAGCACAAAAGGTCCCAGTCAGGGTCATAGCAGAAGTGGTGCAGTGCGTTCAGCTCCTGGTCGTGAGGCTTTGGAAGTTACACAGCAAATCCACACAGTCCTGAGACACTGCAACATCTGGCAGCAGTAGCAGAAAGGAATTAGGAGTCAAGAATGAAACCTCCCAGGATTCTCCGCAGCACACGTCCCTCTCCCATCCGCGTGGAGCAGGATGCAAAGCCCTCCCCCAGCCTTGTTACCCTGGAAACTGTTTATATCACAGTTGTTTTTATATATATTCTTTAAAAGAAAAAAAAAAAGTCAGTGCTGTAGCTGAATGAAACGATTCCAGACACTGTGAGTAATGTCACGGGTAACTATGGCAGTGCCATTATGGAGGCAGCTCAAAGGAGTTCTCATCAGGATCCTATTAAATTAAATTAGAGATGGTCTCTCTCTAACACACACGCAGGCAGCTGAGAGCTAATCAGGCTGAGAAGCTGGAGCAATTCCTGTGACAGGAAGCCCTACAAGCACCAGAGAATGAGTCTCTCTATAGCTGCGGAATAGAGATAAGCCTATTTGTGCCCCAAACAATGTTAAAGACAGGAGGGGGAGGAGAAGGGTGGGCTGACACCAAGTGTAGCTATCAGTGTCTCGCCTGTGTCTCCCCAGGGTAACAATTCCTGTACAATTCCGGAGCAGGGACACAAGGGAGGGCAGAAATCTGTGATTGAGAAACACACAGAGATGGCATGGGTGGAGAAAAAGTGATGAGGGCACTTCTCAGTAACATCACCAAGTACAGTTGCCCTCGCCATGGCTGCACGGAGATCAAGGGCTGCTCTCTCTAATGACATCTGCAGAGCAGGCGGCCAGGAACACTCCAGTGGTTTCAATTAAAACTGAAAACAGTCAAAATGCAAAAAACCCTCAGATGGCAGCATCCCGGGCTGCCCTGTGGGTATTTCACAGCACAAGTAGATTTAGTGTTGCATGCAGAAACATCTACATACACTGAATCCCTTCTCCGGGAGCTTCAGGCAAGAGAAGAGCTCTGCTCCACCATAAGTGGAAGGGACCAATGAATGCTGCAGCTTAACCCAGAGACATACCGACAGGGTGAGAGCAGGACTGCTCCCAGCACATGTGAGCAGGCAGGGCCACAAAAATTGAGGGCAGATGAGATGCCATCCAGAAGAGAGTACTTTGATTGTGGACATCGTCTGCAACAATCAGCAGCAATTCCAGCAGTGCAATTCCAGCATCTTCCTTGGAGATACAGCTGTACTGACTTTGCTTGATAGAGGCACACTGCTCAGCAGCAACTCCAGGAGGGCACCAAGGTGTCAGAGCTGAGCTCAGGTTGGAAACTATGTTTGAACTCTCATACTTTGGAAGGAAACCCAGCAGTAGCCTTCAAGTCACTTGAACTACTTTTCAAACATTCTGCTCTCCAGTCTTTCACAGTTGAAGCTGAAGTTAGGAGCTAAAGGAGCACAACAGAAAACACCACCAAGTACTGCCAGATAAAGCAGTTCAGGACAGCCTGGCAAGTCAAGGCACAGCTGCAAGGAAAGTGCTGAAGAAAAACAACATCTCTTAAGGCCAAAGCTCTCCACTGCAGCTGCAAAGGGCTCTGTCTCCATGGCCAGCTTCCCCCATGCTTGCTATACAGCCAGCTCAGGGCAACAGTGGACAATGTGATCTTCTATATTGCTGATTTGCTTGTTCAATAGCAAGGAAACTCCACCCCAGGCTCTAAGATGACAGAGGGAAGGAAATCCAAGGCTGAGCAAGGTTATTTTTCCCCACTTGTTTCCCTCACATTTCCAGGCGTCCCATAAAATAACACTGCAACAGCAGCAGGAAGTCACTGTCTCCAACCAGAGGATAAATGTGCCATGAGCCACAGCCTGGGCTTATGGGTCCAAGCTCCCCTCAGCTTACCACAATGACCACAGCTTAGTTCTTATCACAACACAGCCATGCTCATTACAATCTCCAGAGGATATCCACACGCACAAACACAAGTAGCTCTCAGGCACAAGAGGGAACCATTTGACTGATTCAACAAAATCAGGTGTCCCAGGCCTGCATTCAGGGAGCTCTGCCTTGCAGCTGCCTTGATGTAGCCAGAGGGGAAACGAGGAGACCAAACCTGTTCCTTCTCAACTACATATTGAATTCCAACACAAACACTGAAAGACAAGCCTTGAGAACTGGAAGCAGCACAACTCAATAAGCAAATACAGAGGTATAGAAGAGATACAAGGCCCACAGTCACTTGCTGTGTTTGACTTTGCTTATATTTACACATAGGGTTCTAGAAGCATCTACCCCATGCTGAAATGCTTTGGTCCATCACCAAATGTCCTCTCCTGACCAGCCTCTGGAGAGTTCCTGCCTCTTTCCACATTTGACTGCGAGTCCTACGCTGTTGCTCAAGTGAATACTTTCAAATGAAGGACTGAGAAGAATATCATACCAGAGCAGGACCCTTTAAGTGCCTCATGGAGAAAACCACTTCATGAAGGGCATCTCACCACTGCAATGATGTGCAAAAACCTTGAGCCTAGTGTGAACATCCAAGCATCATGATCCACCTTGCCCCTCTAGCCAGCACAGCCACACAACCTGCAGTGCACCCAGCATTACAAACACAAAAGATTCACCTTAGTCAAGAGGTTATCTTCTGTGAAGGCCTACTACTGTAAAAGCACAGAGTTGGCTTTCTATCTGCAGTAAATGCATCTGCACAGAGAACGGATCCCAGGTAGGAAAAGTATTGCACAGCTTCAGCTCCTGAGGTTTCTGCTGCAGAGTTTCACACCCGTACTTACTGCTCTCACCCACACAAGGCCCACTGCACCAAGAGGAAATAGCAGAAATAGGATCAAAAGCCCAGAAGAAAGCTGATGGGACAGACAAGGAACTAAACACCTCCACCAATGCAGCTCACTCCTGGCCCTCAAAGAAAGGGAGGAACAAGGACACCTCTTGAAATCCAGTCTCCTGCTGCAGAGACCAGGTATCAAAGCCAAACACATTTCACAAGAGCTGCCAAGCAGTTCATGTCCAGGAACTACCTTCCAGCTCCCAAGGCCCTGTTTCTTCACTTTATAACTATGAATAGATAAGATTTCCTAAATCGATTTTCTCTTCCTCCAGACTTATCTATGACTTATCTTCAAATGCAGAGAATAGCCAAAGCAATCCCTAAGCATTTTGAAGTGCAGCCAAGGGCTTTTAAAGTCTTTTCTTGCCTTGCTTGGCAAGACAAGTTATTGATACAGGCCACAGCACAGCACAAGAGAACTGCAGCCTGGCTCTTCCACAGGGATTTCTGCATGGTGAGGCAAACATACCTCAAAAGAAACATGAGGGAACAGAAAGGCACTTTGGGACCAAGGCTCTGCATCTGGGGACCTCAAAGGAACCTCTTCAGAGAGCTTCCAAGGACCCACTGGCAGCACAAAATCCTCCCACCCTTCTGACGGGAGGAATCTCATGCCATCACTTGGGAAAAATCACCTGTCCTCTGGCAAGGTCAAAGCAATTTTTTGGATGGCAATCCAAGAGAACTACTAACAGGAGGTTTTTCCCTTCCGCCTTCTCCACCAGTTCCTACAGTAGGTTGCAAGCCTTGGTGGCAACTCTGTGAGGTCAGGGCACAGTGAGAAATGCAACAACTTGCATTGAGTGAAAGGCTGGTGATGGAAACCCCATCTAAACATCCTCATACATACAGAAATCAGTCTTCCTGCTCCTAGAAGTCTGTGACTGTAACCTCCAGGGAGGACCCAGCTGGTGCAAGTGCTCAAGGAAAACCAAACAGGGAAGGAAAAGCAAGAGTGTCTTTGTGGTCAGAAAATCATAAGCAAGAATGAAAGTCACCCTCACCCCACACTACCTGAGCTGGTACTTACACTGTTTGGATTTTGGGGAGATCAGGGATTTCCTCCTTTTTCTTGCGGAAGAAAAACCAATAAGTAAAAAGCCCAGTGATGAGTGAGATGAGAAACACATCAGTCATGCTGAGGAAAGAGTCTTGTGTAGTGCTTTCAGGAGGGGAGACTGTTGATTCCACGCCAGCATCCCCCATGATGGTCAAAGATACTGGAAGGAAAGAAAAACAGATGAACGTCAGCAATCACACACAACCACAGAAAAACAGAAGAGCATTAAGGACCACTCAGAACATGATTTTCCATTATAAACTTAATCCTAGGAACACATGGTAGCCTAACAGCTCCCAGAAATTTCAAGACATTCCATCATACTCTGCAACATCGCTTCCTTCCTCGGTATCTCACTACCCTGCCAAGCTTATCCCTTCCCACTGCATCCATGCTGATCTATTGGCTGTTAACTTCTGCTCATCCCCAGCCAGCAACATTGGAGCAGCCCCATGTTCCAGCCAGGGAGCCCAGGCTGACTGCTGAGCAAGGCTCAGCAGGGACACATGGCCAGCCTTTAGCAGACCTTTACCCATCACACAGCCCACAGGTTGCTTGCTGGTGGGGGAAGACACCACTCTTTCACACACTGCTCCAGATCTGTCTCTCCCTCCAAGGAGATGCAATGCTCCTGATTTACTGCAGCACACACACTGCAAAGCAGGACTGTGGTGCAGTACTTCTGCAAGCATCCCCACACCATGTCATTACAGCAGCAAAATGGTACTTCTGATTTACTATCCATCCCCACATGGACCCCATCCCTTTGTACCTCTGTCTTCTTTATCAACTCCACTCCCTTCCCTTATTTAACTTGTTTCCCTGAATTATGAGTTCGCCAGTGGGAAATTGAGCAGAATTTAAGTGATTTGGCCATGGCCATACTCAAGGTCTGTGGTAGAGCAAGGACACATACCTAGCCTTCAAGTCCCTGACTACCCAATGGCCTCTGTCCATTCCACAGGAGCCACCCATCGCTCCCTCCCTCCCAAACTCTGCCAAACTCTGAACTCTCCTGACCACAATTCAGATTGAAAGATTACCTCCCCAATGCACAAGGGCACACTCTGTCCAGGCAAACAGATAATTAACTCAAAACCTGATTCATAAGGGCAAAGTGACTCTTCTTGCACTCAGGCATCATGCCAGCCCAGGAGACCATGGACATTTGAACCCACACACAGAAGAGTGACTCAGAGCTGTGGGGTTGCCACTGGAGTGAGGACATGTTGAGGCCATGTCCTGTGGCAAAGCTGGAAGAGAAACAGCAAGCTGGGATGAGAAGTTGACTTAAGTTTAAACTCTGCTCGTGGTTTATTCAAATCTAAGTCCAGGTTTTCACAACAGCTCATCCTGTTCTCCCAGCAGCACTCATGGAACAGCTAGGGTTTGCTTCATTCTCCAGCCCACGTTGTTGCTTGTTTTGAGCCTACTGAGGGAGCATGCAGCTCCAGAGATCACGGAGTACAGCACAGGGAGAAGTCACAGCCACCCAGCAGCCATCACAGGTGGATTGCTGGGCATTTCTGCAGGTCAGCAAGCTCTCAGCTCCACAGGAAGCTTCATTTAGTGAAGAGCTTGGCAATTGACTACTACACAAGGCACTAAAACCACTGCAGAACCTACATTTGCTGCTGGGCTCTCAGAGATGACACTAAGCAGGGAGTAGGAAGAAAAACGTTAGCAATGCAGTGCAGACAAGCAAAGTGCTTGCTCCCCTCATCAGGTCACCCCGTCCTCCCTCCCTCGTAGAGAGGCTTTCCATCTCCAAATCTCAGAGCCAAGCAGGCGATGGGTGTTATTTCTGTGTAACTGTAGACTAAACTGTTAGGTAAAGCCTCTGCAACCAGAGCTCTGCCGCCAACAACACACAGCTCCCAGCAGAGCCCTTCCTCTCATCTCTGTTGGTTCCAGTAAACTCCTGAAGGGGATTTACTGCAGGAGATGGTCTGAGAGAAGGTACTGGCATGAGGAAAAGCACTGCTAATTCATTGTCTCCACTCCTGATGAAACCTCAGAGGAAGCTGTTGGAAAAAACGAGGCTGATGGAGAGAATGCTAAGCTGGCTTGGGGCAGGAGCTGCAGCCCTCCCTCCTAAGGACCAAATCCAGCACTTGCAGCAGCGAAGCCCTTGGAAATCTTTCTTGCAACAAGCACAGCAGCCATGTAACTGCCTGCCAACCGGCTGCACATGGAAGAAAGTTTCTAGCCAGACATCTCCAGCAAGCATGGGGTGGGAAGCACACAGGCTGTGTATGCCTGGCCCCAGCAACCCCACCCTCTAGCTCAGATAACTCAGCACAGATATTCACCAGCATCCCAGGACTTTGCTTCCAACAGCTAGGAGGTGCAGCGCCTTGGAAGGAGGCATCCTCAGGAGTGCAGCTTTCAGGAATGCAGTGCAGACAGGAGGGGGAGGAAGCCAGACTATCTCCTGGCCTTCACCGTGCTGCAGCTCTCCAGCACTTCAAAGGTGAACCCTACAGCTGCAGCAACAGCTGGACCACCCCCTGCTCACTGCTCACTCGCAGCCCGAGGGAAGAGCACCAGTTCTAGAAGCTCAGGGCACAGGAGCTAGTGTTGGTCTGGTCTCACCTCATCATTTGCAAGTCCCCATGGCAAAAAGGTTCTGTACTGAGCTCTGACCCTGGAAGGAAAAACCACTGTTCTCTAGTGATGGAAACACAAGAAACACTAATTCTGATGCTTGGTTCCATTTGGTCCTGGATATTACCATTTATTCAAGTCAGCTACAGGTTTTTCTTTTTTCTCTCCCTATCCCTAGGAAACAGATGCAACAAAAGAAACACAAAGGATGTGGGATTAAACTTTACACTTCTTTTTTAAAAAGCTTGTCATAACTCAGAACTACTGATTTAACTCCCTTCACCTGACACAGGAAGATTATTTCTCAATTTATCTCAGACTCAACCTAGCTGGCTAGGTTGCAATTACCTTCCAGAAGCTGACAGCAATCCACCAGCTAATACACATCCTTCTCAAACCTCCAGTGAAGGAAAAACTGACTCTCATTTCAGAGTTAGCTGTCCTGGAAATCCCAGTCTCTGGGAAGATCCTACTAGAATCAAATCAGTTCTCTACAAGGGAGAACAAAATTTATGATGGAGAAGTAAAAGTTCCCCTTATATCAGCTTCAAGGGTAGCTATTTTATCCTCAATGTTTATTGTACCTTCAGTCAAGATAACAATCAAGATAAGGCAGACATCCAACTCCCCACCTCCCCCCTCGTTTTTTAATATCAGCCGTGCCTACATTTCTTGATCCTCGTCTATGCACGCAGTATCTGTGAAAAGCAATCAGTCTCAGCCACAATGTAAGGTATCTACATAGAAAAGTCACAACATTTTGAAAGACTGCAATCAAGCAGCACTATTTCAGCACAGCTTTTCAGCCTCTCAGTGCAGCTTCTAAACCTAGGATGTGCACGATACAGCAGCTCACAATCATTACAATCACTGGGGGCATCTCTGCACATCTCCATGCTGCTAAAGTGATGCATCTCTTTTTCATGTTAAAGAATTTTATTTCTAATTCTAAGTGGTCAGCAACCCAAACAGATCTGTTATTCTCCCTCTATTGTGCACAGCTCAATAGTTGGTGGCAGTATTAGATGCTACAGATGCACCCAAAAGCCTGCTGCAGCCCTCAGCTCCAACTGGCAGGCAGAACATCAAGTACATATAGCAGGGGGCTAAAAGGTCTCCCTTTCCCCAACATACAAGGAAGTTTCTGAGAGTCACAGATTGCTTGTAGTACAATAATGTAGTGACCAATAACCCTTGGCTCTGAAGTTAAGTTCATGACTTGTGCAGGAAGTTGGCTCTTCACAAAAGTAATCTTTTATCTATATGATGTTTGTGCTTTTTCAAGCATCCCAGGATGATTTGCTTTCCTGGCCCACAGCTGCAGCCTGTGAATCCAAGCTCTGAGCTCAACTCTCCTCTGACCTGCACTGTCAGAAGCAGGACATGACAAACTGACATCAGTCCCTCTGGCCTGAGATGGGAAGAAGCAGACTGCTGACAAGGCACAGCCCCAGGCTGCTCTCCACCTCAGTTCCCACAGCCAACCCCCTGCCCAAAGCCAAGATTCCACCAGCCAGCTGATTACAGCCTGTAGCACCAACAAGCCCACAAGTTCAGCCTGACACAGAGGAAGGCTCCTCCTGATCCGTACACTCACGCAGTGATAAGCACAACAAGCCCATCTCCCACATCACTGAGCCTATTGAGGCAGCCAGCTGAACTTCTTACAGAGTTTTTTAAACCAAACGGAGCAGCATCAGTGCACTCTGGACACTTGGAGATAAAACAAACATGGGAAGCTCTATTTCATAATACGTGCACTCTAAATCTGCAGTGACTGAATCAGAGGAGTCATCAAGCAACAAATGATGCAGTATCACTGGGCAATAAACACCTAAGGCTCACACTGATGCTCCTGGTGCCAGGCACCATGCAGAGGGAGCTCAGCAGGGACCAGGCAGCTCAGCCTTCAGAGTCCAGGACATCTCAGATAGCTGCTGGCCAGGGCACCAAAGAACTGGTCTAAAGCCAAACCATGGCCTGCAGGAGCAAGCTGCATGCCTTGCAGCTGTACAGCCATGTGGCCAGCATGAACCAGAGCACTACATCCTTCTCTGCTCACTGGAACATTCCCATCAAGCAAGGACGCTTACCGGACTGCTTTTCTGTTTCTTATCACTGGAAATCTCTCCAAGTCAGCACAAAAACAAACTCCAACACACACTCAAAGATCTCCCAGTTCTTTCAGACTGTCTTTCTCCGTGTCAGGCTCCCAGCAAAAGCCCTGCGTAGCTGTGCCAGGGAAGAGAACAAAGGAATGTGCTGGTGGAAACAGCCTGGCAGAGCACTTCTCTTGCTTTCTGCAGCCACATGACGACCCTTGTGCCACTGACTCAACACATACTTTGCATTATTAGAAAAAGCAGAAATACAGCTGTCATTATTACTAGAGCTGGAAGGTCTGAATGGGGGTGGGGGGGTAGTCAGTGTCATCATAAGATATAAGGAAGCCGTGAGCCTTTGCACACAGCTGGATGGAAAAGAAGGAAGGAACTTGCTTATATGCAGGAATGAAGTCATGTGGCAGGGAAAGGGTTGTCTGCTTTCACCCACTAAAGATACAAGATAAGCAGGTTACTGAAGTGCCAGAAAGAAATCCCAGACTTAAGCCCACAAGAAAGGAGTGCCAGCAGCAAGAGGAACAGAGCAGGTTTGTGGTGGAGATGGTATTGCTGCCCATGCACTGAGTCCCGCTGCAGAGACAACTTCCCTGTGTGCTGGTGCATAGTATTAGGCCAGAAGACCTTTGGGGCAAACTGCTTCCCTCACTGCAACAGTTTGGTCAGCCACGTGGGGCTGATTCTCACCACTGCCTGAGAAACCAATGCTCCCTATCCACCAAGGCTCACTGTCCCTACCATTTTCATATCACTTCCAAACCCCATCACATCCTGCAACTTGCCATTCCCCACCATCAGCTCAAGGGTGCAAGGCAGCAGCCCCAAGCTAAAGAGAGGACCTCAAGGAGAGTAAGAAACGTACACAATCAAAGCTTTTTTTTTTTGTGAAACAGAACAAATTACTCTTGTTGTGCAAGGTCGAATCCAACCAAACCTTGACATACCAGCTCAGACATCAGAATTTCTATTTTCAGAATGGGACAGATGCAGAATGTGCATCAGTCAAACTGGAGCTTGAAACACTGCATATTTGAGCTTTCACTGTTACAGTAGGATTTTTCTGGCCAATAGCTCTTATTCAAGGACAGCAGAGCAGCTGTAAAAGCAAGGAGAACAACAGGAGAGGGTTTACTGAGGCAGAAAGCAACTCTGCTCTAGGGGTATGCCAAGGTGTGGCTACGCAATGAGTCCAGGACACTGAACCAGAGGATTTAAGGCATTATCCAACACAAGAATGAAATCAAACTTGTCTTAACAACACAACCTAGTATTACTGAATTTGCACACTACCCTTCACCAGGAAATAGCCCGTCTCTCAGCCTTTAAACACCGGGCATTTCACTGGCTCAAACACTCAAACACCCACTTTTGCACAGATTAACGTGAGCCAGCAAGCAAGCATTCAGGATTGCAGGACAAACAGAACCTGAGAAGGGCGTGAAAACTGAACCCCTCTGCTAACTAATGCTGTTCCCCAGCTTTCCTTCCTAGAGAGGGACAAATTCAGAGCATCATGCCACACAGGCATACTATGAAAAGAGAACAAAGGTCTCAAAACCACCAACATTCAGAAGTTGGGGAAAGACCACAGGAGCTGTAGATCATCCTTTTGCCAATTGCCATAGTTTCTTCTCACTCAGAACAGCTGCTCAGAGGGTTGTGCTGCAAATTCTCAGGAGTGAGCCTTTCACGCACGTATTTTGCATGGTTCAGGTCCTGACTGCTGAAGATATTTTCATGCTCAGGAGGTTGCTAATAAACACCATATTCCCTTCTGAAGCTGCTGTACCCAATGCTGCTAAAGCTGCAGTGAAAACTCCTCCACTGGCCACTTGCTGACCCTGTGCCTGCATTCAATGGGGGCGTGTGACAAGCTGTGATTTTACCTGCAGGCATTTACAGGGAGCGGAGCAGCACAGGGCTGGTAGCTGCAGACTTTCGTCTCTTCCACCAAGAAGAGTTTAGATGGCAAGTCTCTAACACTTTCCTCAGTCAGAAGTCTTCCTTTGAAGCTAGCAGCTGGAAGAGAGTCAGAGATCCAGCACAAGCTTAAGAACTGTGAACAGCTCTGTCTGGAACAGTATGTTTTGGGGGGGGTTATTTATTTACTTAAAGAAAAACTTGTGGTATTTGTATAGAACCAGAACACTTTGTCTTATAAGGTAGCTTTCCCCAGAGGATGTGGAAGCATTTCAAATATTTTGCACCTGTGTTCTGCATTGCTGTAAGGGAAGGAGGTGTTACCACATGGTCCTTGCACGTGGCCATACTGCCGTCAGCCACATGGAAACTCACTGTGAAAGCTGTCCCCCAGACTGCAGAAGCAGACTGTACATCTGGCTGATCCATGAGGGTGCACAATCCCCCAACGAACCTCCCTGCCTCTGTGGTGAGGCACTCCAAGCTGAACACCTTAGAAACACAGGCAACTCCTGAGCTCAGTTCCCTGCAGTCACACACAATTGTGTGCAGGCTGGCAGGGCCAGCAGACCCTAGAACATAGACCCTAGTCAGCTCTGTAACCCAAAGCTGACATCCTCATGCCAAAAAGGGACATCAGACCACAGAACAGCAGACAAGACAGGCAGGGAGTAAGTAGGGTCACAGGCTGAATGGCTGAACTCAAGTTATAAAACTCACAACCTTCCAACTCCACGCTCCCATTCTAGTATGGTCAACATAAACAGAAGATACTTGACACGCAGTTTTTCTTTCCCTTTGTAAGATTAGCTGCTCCTCTTACCTCAAGTATGTATGCACACAGCCCTGTTACACAACCACAGCTTGCACAATCCTCGCAGGCATTTTATCAGCTTGCTCCTCCAAAGCTTCAAGTTAGTTAGAATCAAGAAATGGTAGCAATGACCTGCGAAAGCAAGTCAGTAGATACATTCCACAAATAACTGTGCAGCAACATCCAGTGTATTTGCCAGTACCGCTCAGATTGATCTAAAAACACCCTAAACAGGTAACTAAGCGTCCACAGAAGACTTGCACACGTACTGACAGAGACAGATTTTCCAAGGAGAAGAATCCAACCCCAGCTTGAACTCTAACCTACTCAACTCCTAGTTCATACAGGAAAAATGGAAAGGGAAATTGATCAGTAATTCTGCTTTATTCCTTGCAAAGCAATAACTAGAGGCACAGAAGTGGCCAATAGCAAGCAGGAATGCTACAATAGTCTGCCACCGTAGATCACATTCAGCTACCCTTTGGACTTGTGGCCTTAGAAAAGCCAGAGATAGGAGCACTCCTCTTCCACTCTTTGTGGACTCTGTAAATGACAGGTGTAGCACATAATTGACTTGAACTGCAGAAAGAGATAACAAACAGCTTGTAATTGGAGAGAAGCAGCAAGAGATTATGAGCAGCCTGTAATTATTTGTCCTGTTATATGAAATTTCAAACTCCACAAAAAACAATCTTGGCAGGCGTGCACCAGCCTCTGTGGTGCTCATGACTCACTCAACAATAGCATGTATATAGTACACTTGGATCAAATGATCACACTGGGAAAGCAACTTATGTAAGTTCTAAGAATTGCATTTTTAAAGGTAGGAGAGCTCACGTCAGGCAACAGGACAAAGTTCAGTGTCAGTAGAGGTAATTGCCAAATCGTTTTCTTTTATGTGAGAGAAAAGAGATGGGGAGGAGATGGTCAGAGCACAGATCTGAGCAGGGAAGTCTCTTGCCCAGTCCTTCAGGACGGAGCAAACATTATCATCTCTGCTGTGTCTCAACAACCAAATATGAGAGTAAAGATCAAAGGGGATTTCAGTCCGTGTGTGGCTCCACGTGCTGCTTTTATTGCAGGTGAACTGCATAAAGAAACCATCACTCCCCAGCTCTTGGCCTGTCAGCTCCTGCTGTCAGTCATCCGCTCCAAACCCCAGTGCATGCACAGATACTCCACCTGTGACACTCAAAAGAAACAGATTACCTTGCACCTGCTGTTCTGCAAGCAAACAGTGATGGGACCGACGAGCTCCAACACGAAGGGCAGCAAGCAGCAGGGAACACTTCCTTCAAGACAAGATGTGGAGTATTGGTCAGACAGCCCTGTGGAGCTTCTCCAGCTGCCTGCAAGAAAGAAAAAAATAAAAGTTGTAGAAACCACCTCCTTGCTCAACTCAGACTAGGCACCACCCCAGCAATTATTGATTGAAAAGGAGGCAACTGCAAAGTGATGACATAGCAAGAGATTTTCCTGTCAGTTAAGGCAGGACTCTAATTAACAGTGTTAATCCAGATGTGTGACACTAGCTCCACCTTTCTGCCCACTCTTTTCCTTACTCTTTCAATGTAAAAGCCTTGGAGAGTAAGTGAAAGTGTCCAGTTGCCACCTTTTTTCCTGCAGTGCTCGTTTCCTCCCTCCTTTCCCACCATCATAGGAAAGTGTTTTGCAAACACCTCTTTCTGCACTTTCACATCCACGTGCAACACACAGGACTCCTCCAGCACAGCCCCAAACCTGGGGGCTGTATGCTGTGCACACCCAGATTCAGAGCAATCAACCCAACAGAACATGCATTGAGACAACACTAGGTTCTCCAGGAGCAGCTAACTCACCAGCCCTTGCCCAGCAAACACCAGTTTCCTCACTTGCAGCAGACAAGTGTGCTTTGTGTGTGCTCAGCTCATCACAGTTGATGAAAAATCTACAGGGAAAGTAAATGACAGCACCCTCCTTTCTAATTAGCAAAAGAGATGTGCATGCACTGCTCCTCACTGCAGGCCACACAAAGCCTAAAGCACTGCAAAGGGAGAGATGCCTTCATCGATATGAGCACCGTTTTACTTTCCAAATTTAGAAGCAGAGACCTGATCCATCTTTGTGCTCTTCTGACTTCTCAACAGGATGCTACTGCTTCTTAGAAACAGCTGGAAAAGCCAAAACCCGTTTCAGTTTCCCAGACCCATTCAGACTAAGCAGATGAACTCTTCATGCATTCCACCTAGCGTTATCTTTTGCCTTTATGTCCTGAAGGTTAACCCACACCAAACCCGGGGACCAAAGCACATTCCAACAAGCAAGGAGACCTCCTAACAACCACCTCCAGTCTGACGGCTGATGCCCAACGAACACCAGAACCAGGCGTCTTCACCCCTCCTGCTTTCACAACCCCAGACACGAGACTTCCCATTATTTCCTTCTGTCAGCACGTTCCCTAGGGGATAACTTCACCCCTCGTGCAGTTCAGCAGCCCGGCAGGTTGGGTTGTCACGGCCCTCGCAGCCCTGCTGCGTTCTGATGTCCCCACCGTCCGGGCTGGGCGCAGCTCTGGGCTGCCTCCCGCCCTCTGAGTAAAGAACCCCTCAGCGTCCAACCTCCCCCCTCGTTCAGTGTACAGCCATCCCCTCTCGTCCTATCGCAGCCGCAGGCAGAAAAGCAGCAGCGCAGCCCCGCACGCAGCAGCGCGCTCGGCGGGACCCAGGATCACAACGCAGCCCCCCATCGCAGGGCCTCACACCCCCCGCCCCCCCGCACCACGGCCCCGTTCGCCTCGGCCATCCCGTAACCGAGCCCCGCTCACCTCCGACCCCCCCGCCCCCAAACAGCCGCCCTCTCTCTCCCCAGTCCCGGCTCGCCGCCCGCCCCGCCGTGCCCTCACCCGCCCCGTTCCCGTGCCGTCTGACGCTGGCGGTGCCCGCAGCCCGGCGCGGCCGGCACGTAGGGCGGCGCGCACCACTGCGCTCAGAGCGGGGGGAGCCGTGAGCCGCCCCCGCCTCCCGCCAATGGGCTGCGAGCGCGCGCGGCGCGGACACCCCTCACCGCCCACCCCCCCGCTTCCCCCCGAAGTTGGTACGGTCCCAGCGCGCCTCTCGCTGGGGAAGCCTTAAAGGGACAGAGCAGCGGGGAGGGTGCGCCGCTCGAAGGTCGCGGGGTGGTCCGAGGTCGGGGGAAGGATGAGGGTGGGCGCGGCAGCCACGCTGCACATGGACAGAGGTACAGACGTACAGACAGATGGACACGTAGGTATACGGCCATATAACCATGGATATAGGGACGCTGATGCATGGTTATAGAGATACAGATAGACATACCTAGGGATGGGGATACAGAGATATATATAGGCACATAGATACAGATATACAGGTGCATGGGCAGATATATAGACAGACGCACACAGACATACACAGGCATATAAGCAGGCGTATAGATAGACATGCAGGTGCATAGACAGGCAGATATGGGTGCACAGATTTAATGTGCAATTAACCACAAACCATGCTCTTAGCCCTTTGCCAAAGCCTGTGCTTGCACAAGAAACGTCCCTGGCAGGATAGATTTCACAACCTGACCCCCAAGACCTGGCTGCAGCACCACCGCTGCTCTGCTCTTTTCATAAAGCTGCACCACACTGCTGGGCTGAAGGCCCCAAAGCAAGGATGCACGAGAGGCACAGAGGGGTCCTGGGGGGGATTCTGCTCCAGCAAAGCACAAAGAGCCCCCACTGGAGCATGACAACAGCAGTCACGATTGTGCCTTTCACACCCCATGAACCGGCCAAAGGTTAGGGCACGACATTCAGTCTCTCTCCTCTGCAAAGCCCAGCTGGTGCTGCCCAGCTCCTCCTGGCTCCCCTCCCCTGGCTGCAAGAGGTGCAGGCAGCACAGTGCTGGCACATCAAGTCCATGGTCCCACTGCTATCACCACGTTGACACTCACACCAGTCAATAACGCCCACAGAGAAGGCACAAAGTCCATATGGGTGAGCAGGGGGCACCCGAGGGGTCAGAAGAGGTGCAGGGAGAGGCACTGACCTGAAAAGCCTGCTTCCAGCTGAGCAGAGAGCATACGTGGGCACAGCTAGCATGGTCTCACAGACCTGGATAACTGCACACACTGGCTTTGCCAGAGAGAAACGAGCGACTGGGAAGCACAGAAATAAGAGGAATATTGACCTATTTGCATGGTGACAGACGGTGATATCACCAACTCAGCCGGCTTGTGCTCTTTCAGGCTGGAGTCACTTTGTGCCCTGCTTCCAGGACAGAATCAATCCTGATCTTTGAAGAAGTGCCAGCTGTACTGGGAATGCACTGGAGGTACAGAAGAACAAACCTTTGGAGACAGTATGTTCTCTAGGACAGCCTGGAGTTTTACTGATTTTTTGTCACTATTTTTTTCCCCCCCTCTCTTTTTTAAGAATAACTTCAGTTCTTTACCTCCCCTCCAAGGAAGGGAGCTGGTACTGCAATTTGTGATCCCTAACATTGCTGTGAGCTCAGACAAATGTCAAGGCTGGATGAGCAGATGATTTCTGCCTCCCTCTCCTGAGTTTCAATTCCTCCTTTCAGCCTTCAGACACAATTGCACATCCCATCCTGTCCCTCTCTCTCTCCATTCCCTTTTGAACCCACTGCCAGCCCTAAGGAGTTGGGACTTGGTTGAACTCCACAGCTGGAAAAGCAGGAGGTCCTCCTCTGATTTATACAACAGCGTTTAACTGTCACAGCTGCACTCAGGAAAGGCAGGGAACAGACTGTTAGAAATCATCCATATCTTTCAAAATGTCTGTCTGAAGGCCACTGAACATTTCAAATGCCAAGCGGGCCCCAGGGCAGTCGCACAGTTGGACTCAGAGCAGCCAAAGGGTCACAGTGGTAGTTGCAGTGATCAAAGACCAAGTGACATGCCAAGATCTTCAGGAAACTGACAGCAGGGCTCATATCAGAAGGAAAAACCCCCAAATTGTGGTTTTGCCCCCATTCTTCTAGGATGTCCCTCCCACAAGGCTGCAGTGGGCACCTGCACCCAGCACAGAGGGGTTAAGGGCTGGTCCCTGCTGCCTCCTGCACGGGCAGGGCCCACCTTCATTCCTGTAAGGAGATCTTCTGTCTTCTCCCCTCACCTATCAGACAGGGCTGTTCTTGCTGCCTGCAGTGACAAAGCGGTGACTCTTGGAGGCCAACATTTACTTCTTACCACTTAATGCATGCCATGAAACTACTCACTGGAAACTGCCATCCTTTTGATGGTTCTGCAACTGGTAAGAGTTGAAACAAATCAACTGTTAAAAGTCAGTAAATAAAGATAACCAGTTTCCATGCCCACAGGCATTTTTCAATGTGCAGTACTACTCTTCTGCAGCATGTCCCCTGTCACCAGCCTATCACACAGACTGCACCCAGCTGTTCCCATGGGACTGAGACCATCCAGAGGCTCCAGTTTTCCACACTTGAAAGCAAACAGGACATGTGGCAGTTTGTCTTCCAGACTGTATTTCAAGCTTTCAGTTTGATCGTACACAACATTTACCACTGCAAACAGTCCTCATCACTCTAGTGTATTTTCTGCACGGTGATAAAATTCACAAGATCTCATCTTATGTAGATCCCACGAGGAGGAAAATCAAGGCACCAGAGAGGTATATCAACATTCAAATGATTATCTCTAGCAGTCCTTTCCTGGTATTGAAAACATCCTTTTAAGTTCCAAACAAGAGCCTCATCCTGTTCGTGCTGCACACAAAACACTTAACGATGAAATTGTTGTTAGCAGTTCAGGAAAAATGAGACTGTAAAACCAAGTCCATCTGTCAACCCAGGGAGGAGTGAAACAATCAGGAGTGGGATGGAGCTGACCACCAACTCCAGGCATCCCACCACAAGCCTGCTCCCAAATTATTACATCTTCCTTCTGAAAGCCTCTGCCCCACTTCTGTCGCTGCAAACAGCTTCTTACTATCATGAATCGGAGGTTCAAACCCTCCCCCTTCACTTTGGTCTTCCCCCAAAGCAAGTTCCTGTGAAACCACACATACCTGTGGCAATTTTCCCAGAAGAGCTGCTGGAGAAGGTCTGTACAGCAACATGTGACTTCTTCAGACACTGAAGAGGGGGAACGGTGAGAGAGAGGCACATACATGCTTTGGCACATGAATCAGCAATGCGGTTTCCAACCCTGGCTCCCTGGTACATAGGAAGAGCCCTGTGGCTATTGTAGGGGACAGGCTAGGCATGTTCAAAACATTTCCAAGGGCAGAAATGTCTCTCTGTGTTTCACATAACTTTTTTTTTTTTTTTTTTTTTGGGAAGGGGGAAGAAAACTTTAAGTAATGAGTCAACTGCAATAGCTGAGATCCTGTTTGATTCACAATCACAGAAACAGGAGATTCCTCCTAGGCATGGCACAGTAAAGCCACAACAAAGTGAGAAATAAAGCTCTGGCTTTCCAAGTGCTACCACCTAAAATAAACTTCTGCTACTACCACAGTCACCAAACAGTTCACTCTGCTCTGAATCCCATGCTGAAAACTCCTCTTTCCCATATACCTTTCCACCACCTCTAAAGAAAACCCAGAGTGATTGTGCTAATATTGGTGGGTGACACACCGAAAGATGAAAAATGTGAACATCCCCAGTGGGACAGCTACATTCCAGGTAATTCTTATAACCCACTTTTAAAGTCCCTCTCAGCTTCCTGGATTTATGCATATTTGCTGCACAAATGGCCAAAATCCCTTACTAAAGACTCTTTCACTACTTCTTATGCATTTGAGGCTGCCTTACTGACAAGTGCAGGGGTGATCTAGCTGTAAACATCCCTATTCATTGCAGGGGAGTTGGATTGCATGACCTTTAAGGGTCCCTTCCAACTCAAATGATTATTAGTGCTATGAAGGCTGAACTATTGTGGAGCTATCAGAAATAACAATGTGTTGTTGAGTGCAGACTACACTTCAGTATTTAATAGATGTTTTTTTGAGGGTTTTGGGGGACAGAAAAAGGTGCTCTTTATTCTGTTCTCCTCATCCCAGCCCTGCCTTAATAAGCCCCCTTCAATGCATACGCTCGGTGAAGAAGTCACTACTGAAACAGACTTCTTCACTCAAATGCTAACTTATAAACTAAGGCTTCCATGCTTCCACCCTCTTTTGTGTCCTAACTACATCACACATGTAAACAAGATAGGAAGCTAAGAGCCTTGACGTAGATGGGATGTTTCCTTATCTCTGCAGCATGGCTCAATCCCAGATTAGTCCAGTGTTTTGACTATCAGCTTCCATCTTACCTTGAATTGAAGGACAGAGGCTCTGTAACTGTAGTTACTGTGTGGAGAAAGAAGGCTGCTAAACACTACAATGAGAAAAGTATTCAATAGAATTAGAAATGTGGAGAGGCAATCCAGTCTCTTTCCCTCCACAATGCTAAAAAAAGTATCAAAATTAAAAAGAAATAGAATTAAAGTTAGGTAGTCACCCCAGAGACAGCAACAGTGCCAGCAATTGCTGCTCTGTGAGCATCACGTCATCTTCCCTGCTGCTGCAAGTCCTGCTGCTTTCTGGAGGATCAGTACAGCTGAACTTTTGAAAATTCAGCTGGAACAGGAGATGCTGAGGCTGCTGGATCCCCTGATGCTTGCTGAACTCCAGCCAGGAGGTCCAGGCTGACAGGTGCCTGTGGACCAGTCATACACACACGCTGTGGCACAGAGAACTTGCTTGTCTGGCAGCATTGTCCAGGCGAGGATCCAGTGTGGGACTGAATGTAGCACTCTGCAGAGGCACCTCTGGCTTGATAGGGGGAAGAAACAAGGCTGTATCTTGCATAGCTGTGCTGAGATCCCACATGTCCCAAAGCATGGCCAAATCCTGGCGTGCAGCTGTCCTGAAACCCCTGGCTCTGGACACCAGGGTGCTGCACCTGGAAGGCTGGAAGAGCTGAAGGTGAAGAGCAGTAGTAGCTCTGGGTGGGGTATGTGCCAGGCAGCGGGGTAATCCTGGACAGAAGAAAACGGAAGGCTATACTGTGTTCAAAACTGTCACTACCTAATTAGTTCTGGAAGTGCCCTGGGGGTTGATTTCCTCCTGACCGATGCTCAGAAAGGTCACAGCAATTCATCAGAGATTCTCTATTACAAGTAGCATTTGAGTAAAAATAGGTTTACTAATTACCCAGGACAGATATGCTTACACCAAACCCACTCTAACTCCACACCCACAGAACGAGGAGAGTTTTAGCCTTAAGTCTCTTCATGCAAGAAATATGCCAGCCAAACCACAAAATGCTTTTACAATTTCCATAGACATCCTCTCTGCCTTCCACTGAACCTAAGTTACTAATCAGGAGAAGTCAAAGCTGCCAAGTGTTATTTATCAAGAAGGCCTTTGGTAGAAGTAGCAGCCCAGGGTAGAGAGCAAAAGAGGAGAGAGAGTTGCAAATAAAATGAATCATTCAGAAGCAAGGTCTATAAACAGCCCTTGCCAGCAGAAGGCATGACTCATCCCACCAAAAACACACCATGTGAAAATCTCACCCAGAAGCCAAAGCCTTGGGAACTTTCAGAGCCTGTGGTGTGTTGCACACACTCAGCCCATGCACATCGCTAAGATGAGTGCAGAGAATCAAGACAATATTCACAAAGATCATGTGAGTACCAGGAAAAATGAGAAACTAGCTCATGCTGGGGTTTGGGGACTTGAGTTTATTTCCCCTGTACTTCATTTGTGGCCATAAGCCTGGTGGAAAAGAGTAAACCTCCCAGAAACGCCTCCTGTCGGATGGCAAGTTGGTGTCTGAAGTCTTATTAATTAAAAAAAAAAAGAACAAAACAAACAAACACACACATATAGAACTGATATTTGGTTATAAGAATCAAAATAGTAACTAATTAAGCTCCAGGAACAAGTATAGAACTTGTGCCTAAGGTACAAAGACATGCAAATTTAGCTGCAGAAATGGAAACATCCTAGAAACACCTTCCCACACCCTGCTTGATAATCAAATGTTTATGCAAATACCTTTGAGCCAGAACAGTCTATGTCATCTCACCTAAAGAAAGCAGGTTCAGGCAGAGCTGCGCACAACAACAGAAGCATTAGGCTGATGTCGACACAGGCTCAGCATATGGTGAGAAACTCCCTCCTCCTTAAAGCAGTACTAAAACAGAGAGAGTAAACATGCTCCTGGATTTGCCTGGCTTCCCCTACGAGCACTCATGCAGAGTTTGATTGCATCTGGGCACATTCTTCCTACCAGCAAGGTTTTGTTTCATGGTTTTCTCTCAGGTGAGGGGAAATGTAAGCACCTGGAAACCCTTTCAGTTCAAAGAATGCTTTACAATAAACTGATGGCTTAAACAAAATGTGCAACTTAACCCATAGCAGAAAACCATCCTGTCTCTGTGAAACTGAAATGACATCTCAGGGTTGGGAAAAATTTGACCTCAACGTCTGAGGTTTTTTTTTAGAATTTGCATGAGTTCTCATTGCTTGTGACATAATCATTCCTGAATGTCAACTCCAGTGCTATGGTTTCTTTTCATTAAAGCAACTTTGCCCCAATAAAGAAAAACATGCATTGAAACGTCTACTGTGTGACATCTTTAACTTATAATGTGCTGCTCCTACATAGGTTTGTATATGACAAACGTCCCAACATTCCTGGGAGGTGAAGCTGTGCAAAGACTGACAAAGATCACACCCCAGAGAGCAACTCAGCCAGAAACAAGCACCAGAAGTCCTGTTATGACAGAACTACACAACGTAGCTTTCATGTCAGTGGAGCTGCAATACATTTAACTCGACTCAGTTTCCAGTGAAAGAGCAGATTGAGTTAATGTGTGATAATATATTAGTCACAGCAATATCACCAGCAACATCGATGTCCCACACTCCTGTTCTTAACATCCCATATAGAAACATGACAGGCACAATAAAGATTTTAAAAGTGATTTAATGCCACCTCATGCCTCAAAAATCTCCCACAAGATATTTCATAGGAGCTCCAGTACTTACTTGCTGCTCTCAGTGGCTCTTCTCTCAGCTGAGGACCCCGGGATGTATTTTAGCCCTGGTATTCTCTTTAGCACACTGAAAGGAAACCTCTGATCCAGCTTAGAGGCCACTGACTCTGGAAGATCCAAGCAGAAACAGTAGCCAAGACCATCTGAAGTCAGCAGCACGTCAAGGAGGATCACTGACAAAACGCACTCATTTCTTGCACTGCAACACACCATCCCCTCCAGGCTACAAACTAGTTTCCCTGGAGAATTCTTCCGGTTCTAGCTAGTGCCATCCTTTCAGACCATCACCCTTCTCATCTCCATTTTCTTTGCATACCTTAAAGCCACAATAGAAGTAGAAGCATGGGATGAGAAAGAAATGCAGAACTGGGTGTGATGAGAAAAAGAGCCCAGGAAATATCATAAAGTCAATGCATCTTGACCACAAGAACTGCACCACACTCTCTCCTCATGAGGCAACAATCCTACACTGGTTTAGGGCTACATGTTCAGAAAGGATACAGGCTTTCCCAACTAGGAGCCCACACAGGTTGCTCAGGAGAGAAGAGTGGGGGATAAACCACACCACAAAGAGCAGAAACCATGGCACCAGCACCACTGGAACTCTAAACCCAAAGAAGAGAGCCCGCTTCATTCGTGAGCGGGTGGTTGAGACACCCAGTGTAGCAAAAGCTACAGGCATGAATCCTTTGGCATCTTCCACTTCTGACACCTTCGAGACAACAGTTTCAAGTAAGAGGTACAGGAGGCCAGTCAGGACGGCAAACACAATGGTGAAGAAGCAGTGCTTCACAGTGCCAATGTTCTTCTCAAAGCTGCCAGCAAAATACCAGATGAGAAAGGCACCACAGATCAAGGATATTAGGTCTTCATAGACAAAGATGTAGGTAACTAGCCTGTGAACTAAGCATACCAGCATGTTAGAAAGGCAGAGACAGCAATGAATTTGTTTTAACCCACTACAATTACAAGTTTAAGCAGAGGGAGACAGCCTGCAAGATTCATCAATTTTTTTTTTTTTTAATCTATCCTGTTGCACAAAAGAGGGAACTTGAGGCCTTTAAAACCACGAGTAAGGAACCAAAGACAGCTAAAACAAGAGCTATCTTGGGTACTGCAGGCAGATGGACTGACTTGCTGCTTGCTGGGATGATGCCTGGAAAAAAAGCATCTAGCTTCTATAGTAAATATCAGCCTCGTTGGAAGGCAGAAGGCATAAAAATGACTGCTACAGTTTAACTCTGACTTTGCTCTGTTGCTTTAGCTACTGTAGTAAAAATAATTAAAAAAAACCACACTTCTTAAACAGCCAGCAGAGAGATTTCTCTCATAAGTAAAAACGTTTGGAGATTATCAGCTGGTAGCAACACCCTGAGGCCCTTTGGTTATCAGTTCTGGGCATGCCAAGCAGCTCCCAAAGCCCTCCTGCCAACTGCAGGGTAAACACAGGAGAGAGCATCGCTTGGCACAACCTGACAGCCCCAGGCAGGCAGGCACAGATCAACTCAGCACACCACACTGCTGGAAGGAACCACAGCAGCGAGCAGGAATTAATGATCAACTCCTTCAGGAAACAGCACAGGGAGAGAAGAGAGCAACCAGCCAAGCTCTTAGCAGCGTGCCCCCACCGTGCACTACGCCCAGAGCCACAGACATAGGGAAGCACGGGGAACTGGGAGAGGAGCGCTGCAGGGCTGTGAGGGCCCGGCGGCGCGGCATGGCAGAAAGCACCGCGGAGGAAGGCCACATGGGCTGGGCGCAGGCACCGCTCACCTTCCCCGGCTCGCAGGGCGGCGGGCCGCAGAGCACCGGGGTGGGCAGCGAGGGAACCCCGCAGCAGGCCGGGCCCGGAGGCACCAAGCGACAGCAGCAGCGTGAGAGCGCCGCCAGCCAGAGGGCGGCCACACCTCGCCGCCATGCCGCTGCGAGCCGCCCTACTTCCGGCCGCCGCCGGAAGGCCTTCACCGTTGCTATGGCGACGCGAAGCGCTGCGGTACCCCGTTACCATGGCGACAGCCTTTTTTTTAACCTTTTATATATATTTTCTTTCTTTTTTTCTTTCTTTTTTTTTTTTTTTTCTTTTCTATTTTGGTCAGCAGAGGACAGTGCCGTCTCACGAAGTTTCATACTGTTGGAGCTGTCGGATGAGGGGAATGCTCAGGGACCAAGGGCCAATCTCTTTTTCCAACTCCAGCTTCTTGGGGGGAGCAAAGAAAGAGCACAGTGCAGGGGCTTCCGCTCTGAGCCTGCTGTGAGCTGTCAGGAACCCCTGACCTCCCATCAGGCAATAAAAACATTCACTTATTGTCTCAGTGCCATTTCCAGTGATCACAGAACCACAGGACGGCTTGGGTTGGAAGGGACACCAGGGATCATCAATTCCAATTCCAACACTCTGCCGCAGGCAGGGCCACCATCATCCAGATCTGGTATTAGCCCAGGGCTCTGTCCAAGCTGGTCTTGAACACCTCCAGGGATGGGGCATCCAACGACACAAACACTTCAATTGCTTTGGAACTAGAGATTCAGAGGCTCTACACAGAGCAACTCTTTTTAAAATTAATAATTCCAGTCAGCACTCGCTTTGCAGAAACTTATTTCAGGCCATGGCAGCGGTATTTAGAAACAGCCCAACTCAGCCATCAATCCATTCCGCTGCAATCAAATCGCTTTAATTTCTGTTCATCCCTGATGAAACCTCATTTCTGAAGCAACATCTCCTGCCTCAAAAACCCCCAGATCACAATCTCTTCTCTCAGAAAGCTGCTCCCCGAACCAACACGTGGCTTTCTAGAACACTGGGCGCTCTGCCAACATGGCTTTCCTTTAGGAAACCCTATTACCTGAAACACACCGATAGCCCTGCCCCTTCGGCTGGGATCCGGCCGCTCCCAGAGTCCCTCGGTCTCCCCCCGCCGCCACGAAGTGGTGCCGTCCAAGCGCGCCCTGCTCCCCCCGCCGCACACGGATCCCAGCGCGGCTCCCCCCGCCCCCCCCCACGTTGGTACCGCCCCCGCCCAGCTCCCCGCTGCCCCCCCCCGCGCCGCCGTGCGAATGGAACGCGCCGCGCTCGCTGATTGGCTGCCGGGCCCCGCAGTCTGCGCGAGCTGCGGGTGCCTCACTGTGCGCGCGGCCGGCGCTGCGCTCGGTCCCGGCTAACTTCGTTGCTCGCTCCCGCCGCTCGCTCCCGTCCCGCAGCGCAACGCCCGGCAGCGGCCATGGCTTCGGGTAGGTGCTCCCGAACGCGCGGTGCGGGGAGGGGACGGCGGCTTTTCCCCACGTTGGGACGGCGCGGGCGGCCGCTGGGGGAGGAGGCCGCGTCGTGGGGCAGGGAACGGGGCGCCCCCCCTCCCCGCACGCACCGCCCGCCGCGCGCGCCTCCGCCGGCGGGGAGGGGGAGGGGACCACGCCCCCCTAATGGCGGCCGAGGCCACGCCCCCCTCCGCCGAGGCCACGCCCCCTCCCGAGAGACCCCAGCTGCGGGCGGACGAAGCCACGCCCCTTTTTCATTCGGGGGCTGTGCGGCCACGCCCCCTGGGGCAGGGGTCTGCCCTCGGTGTGGGGCCCTGCTCTGGATTGTGCAGCCCACCTCCAGGCTGGGATGTGAGCTGTCCCCCTTGAATCGTGTAGCCCCAGCATGGGATGCGATACTTCCCCCAGACTGTGCACTCCCTGCATGGGATGTGATCCCCAAACCCCAGATTGTGCACTCCCTGCATGGGATGTGATCCCCATAACCCCAGATTGTACACCCCCAGCATGGAATGTGATTCCTCTTGTTTTGGATCTTGCCCCTTCTGAGCATGGAATGTGACCCCCCACTTGAATCATGCACCTCCGGCACGGGATGTGATTCCTTCTCCCTTTGGGTCTTGTCCCTTCCATCCATAGGATATCCTTCTGCTCCCACCCCGCTTTGGATTGTGCACCCCACAGAATGGGATTTGCCCCACCTCTTGTTGCTGTGCATCATGCAGCATGGGGTGCAACCCTCCCCTTGGGCTGTGCCCCCACCAGCATGGGCTGTGCCTTCCTGCCCTCCCCCAGCTTGTGCCCCATAACTGCTGCCCATGCCTCCTAGCTTTTCCCTGGGGTTTCTGCCAGCAGGCTGTGGTGCCATTTCTTAACCTTGTTGGATGTGAGGTCCCATTTTGAGCCCAGCAGCAAAAGCCCTGGGGAGGGAGCATTCCTTTCTGTCCCTCCTGCACAGGATGGACATGCCTCTAGCCCTCAGTTATCAGGGTTGAGCTGTTGTAGTGTGGTCTGCTGGCATGTACGTGAATGTCAGAGTAAGAGAAAACCAAGCAAGCTGTGCCAAAGGGCTCCCAGTGCAAGGGGCAGTGCACTGCAGTGAGAAGAAAACACATTCAAAGGTGTGAGCCTTTGAGACCACAGATTCTTCTGCCAAATGAATGAAGTTTGGCAGTGAACTAAACACCCTTTCTTCCAGACCTCAGGTAGGTACCAGCCAAGCACCTGACGTGTCTCCTCGTTACTCCGTGGTAAGATTCTTTTTCTCTTGAGGATGCTGTACAAGCTGCTTCTTCCTTATGTGAAATCATCTCATAGAACAACTTCAGTTCTGAGGCATGCACTGCATATTCTTTTTTAAGAGGTATATGGCTCCAGAGCAGTACTGTAAGCTACATCCCACTTCAATCACAGGGAATTTTTCCATTAGCTGTTTCTACATTCAGAAGAAGTCCCTGCACATCCAGGACTTTCCAGAATTAAATCTGTTGTTTCCAAAAAACTCACATCCCTGCTGAGCCCACCAAAGGAAATCAATCAGAAGGCTGTAGACTAAGCAGTCCAAGAAGGGATAATCAGCACGGAGGAAAAATGTATAAATAAAGGAAATTCCCCTGATTCGAGATGTTCATATTTTACAGGCTCCTTATCTGGTTGCTTTTAGTCTTTTCCCAAATTGTTGTGGCTTGGCAGAAGTTTCTGAGGGAGAAACAGAGGTCAAATGTAATTCTTGTGCTTATAGGTAATTACATCCTCGCTCAAGAATTCTTTCTCTAACGACCATTGATATTCTTTTATTTAATTGACTGAATTAACGCTGTTGTGGGGTAACCTGACAGGTGACTGAGCACCACGTGATCATTTGCTCACTCCCCCCCTTTCCCAGTGGGATGGGGGAGAGAATGGAGAACAACAGAGTAGAATTTGTGGATTGAGATAAAGCTATTTACTAAAATAGAGAAAAAGAAAAGGATAATAATTATGACAAATATAGATGTAAACGTATATAACAAGTGATATGCAAGCAGTTGTGCCCAGCTGGCCCCCCATCAGCAGAAGAGAGTGAGATGAACTCCCACCCTGTTCAGAACTCCTTCTGCTTGATGTCATGGGATGGAATACACCTTTGGCCAGTTTCAGTCAGCTCTCCCAATTTTTTCCCCTTCTCCCAGCTCTTTGGGCCCTTTGCTTCCAATGGTCATCGCTCTGTACAGCCCTGCTTAGCAGCAGCTATGAACATTGGTGTGTTATCAGCATCATTTTTCTCCTAAAACCAAAACACAGCATCATAGTAGGCACTCTGAAGAAAACAGTTCCATCCCAGCTGAAACCAAGACAAACTGTATGCAAAACTCGTAGCAAAACAATCATTTTAAAATGCTGTAGCCTATTGAATAAGCTTTGTTATCATTCAAATGGAAATAATGTAAAAGATGTGACCTTTGCCTTGTTAAAAACGATACACATTTGATTTTTGTTATGGAAAAGCAACAAAATATTTGTGTAGGGGTGCAAAATGATGAGAATGTGTCACATCTGGGTGAAAACACTGTGAGATGTGAAATCAGATATTGCAGCTCTTGTTAGGTTCTGCTGAGTGCTTCTCTTGCAGTATGCAGTGCGATGCTTTCTGATGCCTTGTGGAGATGCTTTGCAATTAAAACCCCTTGCTTTGCATCTGAGTAGCTGAGGTGACATCCTGATCTTGGCTGAGTGCCTGAGTTTAAGTGTAAGTACTGGCAGGAACAGATTTATAGCCAGATGAGGGAGGTGTGATGAACAGATTTGGAGCGATTTGGTGTATGTTTGCTGTTTGTTTATAGTTTATGGCATTTCTTCTGCACTGTAACTCACTCTCAGTTTCAGCTTTTTAGTCAGTTCTTGGAGTAGAGGTTATATACATAGAAACAGATGGGGAAAACAGAAATGGGGGATGAAAGCAGAAATTCTGATAGCTGTTTTTTAGACCACGGTGCTGCGATGTTTGTACTAGTTTTTGGGTACCTTAAAGAGAAGAATTGCAAGGCATTCCCCAGAGGGATGGTACTGCTGAGGCTGCAGGGAGACCAGGGCTTGGGCTTTGGTGCAAGGTGGAAGATAGAAGTTTCAAGTGTAAGTGGCAAGAGTTGGGGTGGCATTGGAAAGGTCTGAAGCTGATGGAGCAAGGTATGCTGTGCTGTGTTTGTGCTGGAGGAACAGGGCTTTCCCCTCCCTCTTAGCCAGGGAGACCCATCTTTCTGCAATTAACGAGACATAATAATGTGGTAAGCTGAATTAATGTGAAGACAAGAGCATCCTGTTTAAGAACTGAATTCCAGCGTAGTAGGCTTTCCTAGAGTTAGTAAGGCTTGTTGTAGCACTCATAGCTTTTATAAACTAGGTTGATTGACCTTAATACAAGTCAAACAATTTCAGTGATGTTGCTGATGGTGTAAGCTTCCTTTTTTGTTTTGTTTGTTTTCCTTGAAGTTGTATTTTGAAATACCCATCCAGTGTAATTGTCTTTCAAGAGTCAATTTCCATGATAACTGATGTTTCCATTACTGGGAAATAAGCTGCATTATACCTATCTGGGCAGCTTGTATGTGAATGGATTTGTTCTTGCATGGTCAATAAGGGAACTACTGTGGTTCTTCATCCCTGATTTACATCTCCAAGTTCCACCTCCTTGCTTTGCATGGTACCTTAAAATGGGGTTCAGTAGGACTGACCTACTTAGCTTTGCTGGATTAATTAAGTGGCTGCTTTCTGTTCATTGATGATGGCACTACACTCGACAGCCATTAGCAAGGCTTGTATAGTCCTGGCTGTTGAGGAGGAACGTGGAAACGTGAAGATGGAATCCAGGCACTTCCAAAAGAGAAGCTATGGGTCCTGCACACGCCGTGCTTGTGTGTGCATGGCCTCTTGTCTGAGGATGGGGAAGAAGCTGCCTGGTTCTACTGGGAGAGCGAATCCCCTTGTTCACTGCACCTGCACCTTCCTGCCTCTCCCCAGCCTTCTTCCTTTCATATCAGGCCAAGGAACCAGACACCCATTAGAAATTCTCAATATGACTGCCTTCTTTTCTAGATTCTGGAAGTTACGGTCAGTCTGGAGGCCAGCAGAGGTATGGATTTTTTTTTTCTTGTTTTTCTTGTTTTGTTTGTTCCTGTTAGCAATTAAATATGCCAAATAAAAGGTCATTTAGGATTTCCAGCAAGATTCTGCAATCTTTGCTTCAACACTATACAGCATTGATACATTCTGCACGTTACAGTTGCAGGAAACTTGGGACCAGATTTCTTTCATTAAGAAATCTTAAAAAATAGGACAAAAAGCTGATATTCACCCAGCGAAGACAATAAGGAGATTTAATCTGAAATGTCACGAATATAGAGATAGGTTTTTTGTAAGGCTGCCTTCAGCTGTTCCCTGAAATGTTAATCAAAGTTTATAGACAAACACGTGATGGCCATATAACCATTTTCCCAGTATAGGGATTTTTTAAAAAGGCAAAAAAACTGTGAAAACTGTTAATAATTTTATGATATAAAAACTGTATGTTTGGGGTACGTGGTGTACTTTAATCAGCAAAACAAAAAGTGTTCCTAGAGAAGTGTAAAAATCATGGATAACACTGCATTTATCTGAGTTTCTTGGTAGTTTATCAAACAGCAATAAGCCCAACTTTCATGTGCTTT